CTGTTTTTTTCCCATTCGTTCATACTTCATATGTGTTTGTTGATATGTGTGTTGGCTCGCTGAAAGCTATCAATAGTACACCGTGGCCGAACAAGGGCAGCCTCAGGGGACACGGACTGGCACTGTCTGCGTGCGCAGCTTAGGAAGTGCAACACAGAGCCTCTTGGTTTGATTTCTGTGCTTTGATTGAGTTCCTGCATTTCTTTCGACTTGAGTCGTCTTCCAACCTTGCCACTGACTGCCGCTGGCCTCGTCAGGCGACTTGTGGCGGAGGTCAAGCGAAGCCAGGTGCAGCTTCGCTGAATAGCTGCCTTTGAGTGACTGTCCGTTTCTTTCGGGGCCCGCGGTGCTGTTTCGAAGTCACGATTTTCACTTTGTGCTTGACGCAATGCGTGCACACATGCTGTAGGATGCAGGCTGTAAGTCCGCGTCAGTTCAGCTCTGCGTGCCGAAGTATCTTCAAAAGAGACGTTGGGCTGTCTGGCCCGAGACCTGTCAATGCAAGGTACATCAGCGAGCTTGTGCAGCAGCTACGCGAGCGTGGGTCCGAGCGTGAGTCTTGCTGTTTTGCAGGTATGTCCTCAAAACAATCAGGCAGCAAGACCAGATCCTTCGTCTGGAGATGCAGCCAGGGCCTGAAGGTCGAGAGCGAGAAAGGAAGATAAAGCACAACGTCTTCCATGAATATGTCATCCTGCCCTTGCCAATCGCCTTGAGAAGCGAACGGTCAGAGCCGTCCACTGAGGCGGCTTGTGTGAATCATGCACAACTCAACACGGGCTCTGCTGCCAGAAAACTGACCCCGTTCCCCAGTCCTCGGACCTAACAGCTGTGCAAGCACGCGCGCAACTCTGTTTTGCTTCTACTCGCTTGAATTGGCGGGAGCAGAGAAATGGAAGGCCTACGAGCGATAAACAAAAACATTAGGTCCAACAAGCTTGCTTGCTGCAAAAAGAAGGTGCCTGGTGTCCCGCAGAAGCAATGAAAAGTGCAGAAACTTGAGGCCAACATCCGATCTGTGTGCGACCCTGTGCTGGTGCAACTGACCACTTTGCCCAAAAGGGAAACAAAGAATTGAGTTCTTCTTTGGTTCTTCCCCATCTTGGAAATTGTGTGGTACGCGGCGGGTGGCGGAATCTGCAGTTGATGCCAAGTCGTTTTGGGACTTTCGGCTTCCCGGACCCCTGAGGGCCAGTGGGAAAGTACGAAGGAAATCAACGAGCCGATGTCCATGTTTTGAACAACCCTGAACCCCAAATAGCCCCCCACCCCTGAAAATCCTAACCCCTGAACCCAAGTTCTTTAAAATCCTGAAGCCCACAGCCCTAAGCCCTAAACCTCAAATCCAAAACCCTAAACCCTTAAAGCCTTAAACCCTAAGCCCTGAACCTAAACAACCCTATAAACCCACAAACCCTATAAACCCCACAAACCCTATAAACCCCATACACCCCATAAACCCAGGACGTGATCTGGGCGGTGGCAAAGGCAAAGCAAATGGAGGAGGGATTCTTAATTCAGGTGCTTTTAGGCTTTCGGTCGGATTTAGGGCGTGGGCTCTAGGGCGTGGGGTGGCTACAAGGCTTCTCAGAAGCCCTTTTGGGCTGGTACATGCTTAGGGTTTGCACAGGGCTTGAGGGTGTTGTGTGAGGGCTTTTCGTGGTAGCCCAGTGGTGCCGCCCTTTCCTAATTATAGTATGGTTACTGGGCTACCAGCCTAAATGCCTGAAAAAAACACGATTTGTTAGTGGCTCTCAGGAGTGAATGATGGAATCAGGTACCTTATACAATCCCTTGAAGGGCTACAGAATCAAGCAAATCCATAAGTAGCTAAATATACAATATATAAATATATACATATGTATAAATATATAAATACACAAAATTATAATTTTATATTCATATATTTATATGTTTATATTTTTATATTGTTATATATTTATATATTCATATATTTATATATTTATATATTTATATATTTATATATTTATATATATATATATATATTTTTATATTTATATATTTATGTATTTATATATACATTTATATATTTATATATTTATATATTTATATATTTATATATTTATATATTTATATATTTATATATATGTGTATATTTTGTATATTGTATATTTATATTTAATATATATATGTATATTTACATATTCATATATTCATATTTCGTATATATTTTTATATATTTATATGTTTATTAATATTTAGATATTTCATTTTATATTATATATTAATAGATTATATAGTTAATATATTTATATATTATATATTTATAAAATCATAGATTGTAATTAATTAAATATTACAATTATAATATTATAAATATTAAATCTATAAATATAATATTAAATATGTAAATATATAAATATATAAATTATAAATATAAATAATAAATATAAATATATAATATATATAAATATAATAACCAAATATAAAATATAAAAATAAATATAAAAATATACAAATATCAATATATACAATTATAAATATATAAAATATAGAATATATAAACACATAAATACATCAAGCGATAAATAGATAAATAGAGAAATATATAAATATATAAATGTACAAATATATAAATATATGAATATATAAACACATAAATACATAAAGCGATAAATAGAGAAATATATAACTATATAATTATGTAAATACATAAATACATCAATACATAAATACATAAATATATAAATAAATTAATAAACATCACTAAATACATAAATATATAAGTATATAAATATACATAAAAATTTATATAGATAGATATGTATAGATATATATATATAATATAGGCAAATAAATACACCTTACTTATAGGGCTTGTTGGGCTTGTGCGCGCTTTAGGTTTGCATAGGGCTTGAGGGTTTTGTTGTATGAGGGCTTTGGGATGCTCTAGGATGCTTCAGCCTAATCGCAGTTTGGGGTTTTGGAGGGTTTCTTGGTAGCCCAGTCGTGCCGCCCTTTCCTTATTATAAAATGCTTCATTCACACGAGCCTTCGAGGATCAGACACGAGCCCAGACGCCCGGCAGCCCAGATTTTTGTGGGGTTAGACCGGGTTAGAGTCAGGGGTGGAGGGTTGAAGGTTGGGTGTGGCGGGGTTGAGGAGGGCTTGGACGCATTTGGCATGGCGCTGGGCCCTCATGCCCCCAAAAGCCTTGAAACCTAACTCTACACCCCAAGTCCCATCCATCCACCCCCTTGTAACCCTAAGCCCTCAACCCTAACCAAAGAGTAAACAACCCTAACTTGCGAACGAGAGAAAAGCTTCCATGCGCTTATGCATTTAAGTAATCTTAGGGCCCTAGGGTTAAAGCTTGGTATAGGGTTTATACAAGGACAGCGGGAATACATATACACATACACTCGAGTTCTATATAGATGTGTCTACAGACACAAACATATAAACACAATACTGCACATGAGTCAATATAACACTCGTTATAAGTATACATGTATTCACTGGAGACTGCCTGCGACGGAGTGCTTTGAAGGGTTTGGACGATCTGATCCCGTTCGGGAGAGCATGCCTTGGCTGAAGAAAGCCCTGTCTCCCAATTCTAGTAAAATACATAGTCATCCAATACATTTAGACATATATATATATATACATATACATGTAGAGACATACAGTTGTAAGTCCATGGTACAAACCTTGAGAAGCCTTAGCCCGAAATTTTGGTTGCATCAGGAATCCTGAAGCAAGACCAGAGCCAAGCAAGACCAGAGCCAATAACCATGCAATATGTATTTTTGCATATACCTCCATACTCATAGCCATCCCAATCCCCTACCAAACCCTTCTAAAAGTGGTCTGGAACTGATGATGGTCACCGTGACCTTTCTGGTTTGTGGATATTACCGGTGTCGATAAAGCTGGCTACTTTGACAAAAGCGCTCGATTTGGAGCGGCGCCCAATCATTTTAGGGACCAGAGGCGTTCCAGGTAGTTTTGTAGATCTGCAGCTCGAAGTCTTCACCGTGAAGTGTTGCAAGGATGTGAGTCTGAGGCTGAGTCCACTTACTATTTGATTTGTGGGGCTGTTCTGTTGAGAGTTCGTTAGGTTCCCAAATCCCGGCCTTTAAAGCAACGGGGGGTTATAAATCAAGGGCCTACATGAGTTTCGCAAAGGTGCTGCCGGAGGCTATTGCGCAATTGGTGGCCCTTGGCTTCATGCGTCTTGGCTGCGGATTTTCGCTTCGCACTTTGCGGCTGCTTTGGAAGTTTTTTTGTACTTTGCATGACGCAAACAGTCTATCTGTCTCACGCTACGCTGCAATGCACTGTGGCATCGGCTCGCTTGAGCATGTGCAACAAACTGAACCCACGTGCCGAACCAGAGGCAGCGTTCAGCAGAGGCGACGCTAGTGTCAAAATACACCATATGCAAGATCTGGCCTGAAACATCGTCTCACCCGACGAACGGGACTGATAGACGTATGTGCACTGTGACAGAGAATTCAGTCACATCAAGGCACTCACCTAACCCAACAAATGGGACTGATAGGTCACAAGCAGCAAAAGCTTTATTTCCCTCTGTAAAAAACCGGGCATCCAACCAATTTGATTAGGCATTCGTGCCAGAAAGGGACGGAGTGGCACTAACAAAAGAGGGCTGATAACCGCCCGATGGTAAGGCATTCGTACCAGAAAGGAACGGAGTGGCGACAGCCGCTCGATGGTTACACATTCGTGCCAGAAAGGGACAGCGTGACACAAGCAAAATGGGGCTGACAACCGCTCGATGGCATGACTGCTGCTGGATGTACTACCTTCGAAAATGTCCAGGGCGTGGACGTGGAGCGTGTTTCAAGAGAATAGCTCATGCCACGGAGTCTGTCACAATATGCAGGGGAGTGCTTCCATGCTAGTCGCCATTTTGAACCATAGGAATAGTGGCCACAGGCCAAGCCACATACTGAACATAGTAGCTGGTACAAGGATCGATGGCACGGAAATAAGGGCTGCGGACATAAGCGGACATGAAGGAGCTGAAGCATGCACAGGTGCTACCAGACCCCCGACGGGGAGCGGTGGTGGTGCCACCCTACAGGTCATTGGACCATGGAGCAGGACTGATTGCAGTGCAAAGGGTGTTGTTGCTTCAGTGTTTTTGCATGTTCTTGAGGACTTCGTGGCGACGGGTCTCGTTCACCCGCCTTGAGGCCGACGGCCCGTACTTCTTCGACACAGAGAGGGAGAGGGCGGGAGGGAGAGGGAGGGAGAGGGAGAGGGAGAGAGTGTGGTCTGTGTGGGATGGGGCCCCAGCCGCGATCGGATTTCGGCTCCTCCAAGCGGTTTGTTTGGGCAGGAGGGCGCGGGGGCGGGGAGGGGTGTGCGGAAAGGTCTTGGTGAAGGGAAGGTAGTGGGAATGGGATGTATAGAAGGACGCTTAATAAGACTAGATTCCTGGTGTGCCTGTTCTCAACGTCTCGCCTGGAAGCCGATGCGAACTCTCTTGAGGCTGCTCTTAAAATGTATCATACCGTAAAGAGGATGGTGCTTGCAAATGGGGCGGGCTGTCCCGTAAGATGGACACTTAAAGGCTATGCTGCACGTGCGTGCCTTGTAAACAGTTTGTTAAACAAATACTTTACAAAGGAAACGCCCGCAGAATAGACGCAACGCGCCCGCAGAATAGACGCAACGCACCCTTAGCATCAGCAAATTGTGTTCTGGGCGGAGGGCGCAGAGGGCGCGCGGAGGGTGCGGAGGGCGCGGAGGGCGCGGAGGGTGTGGAGGGTGCGGAGGGCGCGGAGGGTGCGGAGGGCGCGGAGGGCGCGGCGGGCGCGGAGCGCGCAGAGGGTGCGCTCGCGGAGCGTGCGGAGCGCGGAAAGCACGGAGGGTGCGGAATTTGCGGAGGGCGCGCGGAGGATGCGTCAATATTGAACCGAATGTCACGCTCTCATGCAGTGTTCAGCGTCTTCCTACTGAGCAAGCTTGGACAGTCCTAGAGATACGCGATTGGAGATTCAGAGTTGGTCTTGCTCTTCACATTGCTCCCGACTCTGACAGGTATCTCAACGGCGTCTGGATCTATTGGCAAGGTTTCTTGCCGCTTCAGTAGACATGGAGATGTAAAGGCTGCGCCCGAAACGGTCAAAGCATCTGGCCGCTGTTCCGCTTCAGTTCCATCTTTCCCTCTGCCCGACTCTTTTCTGTTAGGGTGAAACTGAGCCTGTTTACGCTTCGGCGTCAGGCAGGTTTTGGGCTGAAAGTCTGAGAGGGCATGTGCTAGGTCCTCCACTAATCTCAACCGCGAAGGGCTGGAATCGGACCCGAAAAAAAAACATCTCCCATCACTGCTCAGGAACCTTGCGAAGACGACGAGTCGTCGGATGAGGACCCTCGGTGGACGGCCAGCCTAGACTGGGATTTTCTCACTCCTCACCAGACCTTCCCATCGCCCGTTCCCTCCCTTCCCTCCCCAAGTCGTTGATCTTGAAGAGTCCGGGACCATAAGGCCCATGTCCTGAAAATTTTTGTAAAGCACGAAGAACCATGTGTGCAGCCTTTGCCGTACAACCCGGTAGCCCGTTCTAGACCTGAAACCATGCTTAATCCCGAGCCTTAAACCCTAAACCCCTAACATCCCCTAACCCGACAAGCTTGAGCCCAACACCCTTAAGACCTTAAACCTTCCTTCCTTCGATGGCGTAAGGCAGATGCGCGCCTGTGCCGGCCAAAAGTGGGTGTCTTACCCACAGCCGAAATAATATTGAAAGCTACGAGCGAGAGGACTGTACAACCTCACGGCTCAGTCAAGGGGTATGGTGAGCGGCGGCCAAACGAAGGGAGCCTGGCCTACAGCTAGCAGCTCCACGCGGTCCTAGAAAAGAGGGACCCTGCCCCGCTCCAGCGGGAGACTACAACATGCGTAGCCCCTTCCCAGCTCACAACGTGAGGCTCCAGGACTCGGAACACTGTACGTGCGGCTGGGTGGGGTTGTCCTTACCAGATTGCCCCGTGAGAACCAATGGCCTCGCCTCCGCTTCCCCGTGATGCTCGTGGGCAAAGATCCAGACGCAGTAGAAACCAAGGGCTGGCCAGGCCCCCCATAAAAAGCCTTAGCAAACCACACCTGTTAGCCAAAAAGCAGTGAACCAGTCACAGCAGTGAAAAGGGAGCCGAGTCCCAGTGCCTACCCAGTGTAAGCCAGGGGGTCTCCACCCAGGGTTGTAAATCGACCACCGACGGTCGAGACGGAACACCAGTTCCAGGAGCGGACGGCGCTGGAGTGCAGCGTACGCAGGCAGGCCTCCGAGCGCGATGCCGGTCACGCGCGGACAAATGGCACGCTGGGGTCTTGCTACAACAGCCACAAGTGCCGACACGGGCGTGTGGCACTAAACGCTGGTGCTTGGGCAGAGACCCTAGACCTGAAACCCTAAAAGCCTTAAGCGTTCGTGCCAAAAACGACGAGACGAGGAAGCTCGACCGCACTCCGCAAGTGCGGAACTGGCGAAGCAGCTCAGGCGGGGTGCTTCGGTGCTTTTGTGCCCGCGATGTCGCGACGTGGTCCAGACATTGTGACATGACATCATTTGCAGGGGATGGAGCTCCTCTAGCAATCGGAAACCTGAATGTCTGCCTTGAGAATCGGACCCGGAGCCTCGAACTCAAGGGTTGGATCAACTTAGAAGTGGAGGCGACGTAGGTGTCTGCTGGCGAGCATCGCAGCTTCGGCATTTGCGGGTCTCCTTGAGTTGATCATGGATAGGCGGGCCCTTGGTGCCACGCCGCTGAGGCAGGGATGATTCACTGGTTGTTTCAGACTGGGAGCTTCTCGCAGCAGAAAGATTGCCACCCCAAGACAGGCAGTGGGTTTGGGGAGGGTCCCTTTGAAGGTTAGGGGCCTGAGCGGGTGTTCACTTGTCCGGCGGCCCGAAGTCACGGATTTCCTTAGGGCTTTGGGTTAAGGGAAGTTTAGGGTAAAGCATCCGCAAAGTTAGGTCATAATGTAGATGAAGACGTTAAAAGGCTGTCAGATAGGGTTCATTAACTGTTCGGCTGCGGCTGCTCAGGAGTACTACTGTTGTTGGAACATTTCGACTACTACTTCTGCGACCATCACTCTTACTGCACTTGCACCTGATTGCACCACCGCTGCCAGGATTACTGTTTCTCCTGCTGCTCTAATGCCAAGTGTTATTACCACTACCACCACTACCACCACTACCACTACAACCTCCACTGCCACTACCACTACGACGACGTCGACGACTACCACTTCTACTACCACTGCAGTAGGGCGCCTACGACGACTGCTAGTAGATGCCATTAGCAGGAGACGTGCTACGATTGACCTACCTACTACCTGCTGTAGTGCATGGAAGAGCACACGGTGTTGCTTTTCTTTTCTCTGCCCCTGTATTCTTTAACCCTCCAGAACAAACTGAATTCCAAAACCCGCGACACCTCCGCCCGCTTTCCTCAAGCCCGTTGATACCCTAAAACCCTAATTCCGCGCCCCAAAATGCCCCATAAAAAAACCTAAGCCCTCAAACCAAACAAAAAAGCACGCTTAGACCCGAAACCCTAAATCCTTGCCCTCAGCAGCCAAACAAGCGCGCGAGGCGGTTCCGCAGAGCGCAGCCGAGGCGGTACAGAAGAGGAGAAGGCGCGCGAGCGCAGAAAGCTCCAGGGCTGGTCGGTTTGGAAGGGTTTAGGGTTAAATTTCAGTTTCAAACTTGTTAGGACTTGTGATTCGGTTTTAGAACGGTAAGGCGTAGGGTTGAAGACGTCAGGTCTAAGTCTCACGTTTGGGGTTTAGGGGCTAGGGACTTGGGTTTAGTGTTTGGGCCGTTGCGGTTGCGTCTATGGCCCGGCTTTGGGGGGGCTTCGGGCTTTTCGAGACCACATCTGTCCATACAGCAGTATTGAGACCTACTTACGCAGGGAGGAGCACGATGAAGGATCATCGTGCTTTCAAACTGGAACATCTATGCCAGCTTCAAATGCCATTGTTCTGTAAATCAAGAATTGCCGTCCGTTAGGTTTGAGCGCAGGGGTGCCTCCTCGACATTGTGGGACTGTGTCCCTCACTCAGCTTTCAAAGGCTGTAAAGCTGTTTTTAAGAGAAAGGCTGTTTGCAACAAGTCCTTTTCAGTAAAGTTGTTGTTTTTAGAAGAGCGACAAGGCGGCAGGGGTTTCGGCTGCTGCTTTCGATGACAGCGCTGACGCACGAGGTAGCCGGGCAGTTTCCCACGGTTGTCATGGTGATGACGAGCTGGTGGGCATCGCCGTGTACACGAGTGCTAATCCTTAGCAAGGAAATCTGAGAGGTTCGCAGCAGTCTTGTGCCTGTGTGATTGGTCCAGATGGCATGGATGGCATGAATTGCGGATGCGGTGACTCAAGTTTGCCCTGAATTCCTGAAGCCTAGGTGTTGGGCCAGAATTTCATCCCGGCTCCGCTTGACCCGCGTGCTGCCAAGGTGTGCAAGCAAGATGAGACGCACGTGTGTTGCATGTGTTGCTTGTTGTTGAGCATGCGTGCAGGCCTTTCTGAACAGGAACGACTTGGCTGATTGGTGGGCGCCGCGCTTGCATCAGCAGTAGATGTGAGAGCGCGCATGTCCCCTCAACCCCTGAAGTTTCCCAAGGCATGCAGGGCCGAGGCGCGAAATCAGGACATCAACAAGCTCGATAAAGCTCTTGTCCAAGACTGCGTGGACGCAGGCGGCTGTGGCAACGGAGGGCGCGCCTCCAAGTGCTCACACGCCCGCAGCCGAGTGTCTGTGTTCGTGTGCCCACCTCCAGCATGTTGCACGTCAGCATACTCGTCAAGCAAGGCCGGCTGGCGGAAGTGCAAACCCAGTCAGTGTTGGCCCAAGCCAAAGCCACTCAACTGAGAGAAGCTATGAGAAGCTCATCATTCTTGAACGCGTCGAAGTCGCACAAGGTGGCATCGCCGCACCGGTGGGCGGTATCGCCACTACGGTAAGTGGCATTGCCGCGGGGCTGCACGGTATTTTGCATGTTGCACATCGGAAGTGCCGTCCATTTGATTCGATGTGAAATCCCTTGCTTTCGGAGGCTTGGCTGAGTGTTTCGTTCGGTGGTCGTCGTCGTCGTAGTAGTAGTAGTAGTAGTAGAAGAAGAAGTAGTAGTAGTAGTAGTAGTAGTAGTGGTAGTGGTAGTAGTGGTAGTGGTAGTGGTAGTGGTAGTGGTAGTAGTAGTAGTAGTAGTAGTAGTAGTAGTAGTAGTAGTAGTAGTAGTAGCAGTAGGAGGAGTAGTAGTAGTAGTAGTAGTAGTAGTAGTAGTAGAAGTAGTAGTAGTAGTAGTAGTAGTAGTAGTAGTAGTAGTAGTAGTAGTAGTAGTAGAGTGTGGAATAGGCAGTAGATCGTCCAGCAACATCAATTACACTGAAATGGAAGTTTGGTTGAGGGGCTCAACTGTTTTAGGGAGCCGTCAGGCACTCCACGATGCTCGCTCACTGCCTCCCATGTCGTAGAAACGCCATCAACGGCATGTCCTGCAGAGGACTGGGTTGCGGGAGTGTTCGTTTTCTGTCCTTGGTGCAGAGTTCCCGACTTGTTCTTTGTTCAGGAGGCTGTGCACGATGACCCACACGAAGAGGATGAGCTTCTGCGGGGGCCTCTTGACCAGCAGCAGCAAGTAAAATAGTATTCGCCCAGTCGTCATAGTAGCGACGTACTTTTCATTTAATGGTACCTACCGGAGCAGGTAAGCAGATGCACTCACATGATCGTGCAATGGTTGAGATGCATATCTGCAGATCTACGGAGGCTCAGAATCGCAACTCTGACGGTTTGGGGCGTTCCAGGTCTCTGAGTTTGATGTTGTGCCTCTTCATGACCACTTCTTGCTCGGCCAACACGCTTATCTTGTCGACACGGCTGGCCCTGCCTGTTCAAAACAGTTCCTATCACAATGACTCGAGTCGCCATGCATTGTTTTTTTCTCCCCACCTTCGGTGTGGGGTTGTTAGATTTAAACTCAACTCTTCTCCTCGCCCGGAACCCTTCTCCTCGCCCGGTCTACTCCTAGAGACTCCCTGGAGTGCCCAACCCCAAAAAATCAAAGGAGAGACTCCCTTGGAGTGCCCAACCCAGAGACTCCTGGAGTGCCCAACCCCAGAGTTTTTTGGAGTGCCCAATGCAGAGACTCCTGGAGTGCCCAACCCCAGAGTCTCCCTGTAGTGCCCAAACCCAGAGTCTCCCTTGAGTGCCCAACCCCAATTGCAAGCAAAAACTAAGAAAGCGTATTTGAATCAATGTGCACCGTGGAAGTCATGGACATGATCTCGCGAGCAGCCGGCAGGAAGCTTGTGCAGCAGTGCGTAGTGAGACCATTAAGGAGCGATTCGGGCGATGACGCGGCCGAGTCGAGTGCCATCGAGGCACTTGCTTGCAAGCTTCGCCTTGGCCCATCCACACACTGATGTAACGCCTGCGTCGCAATTGTAGTCAGGCTCTGCCCGCAGGATTTTGGCCAACATTCGTGAACGGAACAGCCGTTTACTGGGAAGCATCATGATTGTAAGTCAGTGGGTCTAGGCCAGGCAGAAGGCCAAGACTCGGCCTTAAGAACATCTCCCATTTTCGGGAAGCCGTCCAGCTTTCTTGTCAGCAGGATTTAAGAGTGTCAAATCACTTATGGTGCTCTGCGATGCTCCTGATGCTTTGTGATGCTCTGCCGTGCTTACGATGCTTCTTGATCGAGCCGGGTTGTGTCTGCGCTCGTCCTCCCCAAGCATTTACGGGAACCAAAGGGCGCCGACCGGTTGATCAAGCGCGAGCGGAGAAAACCTTGAACTCTCCTGCTGCTGAGCAAGTTAGAAGGCGCAGCCTGAAGCTTTATTGGGGCCCGTGCAACATTGCCACTGGGTTCGTGGAAGAGTTGGACTTCCGAAAAGACTGTGGGTACATGCGGGAATTCGATTTTGGGCGAGCTTGTTGGCAGCTTATCGCTTGAACCCTAGTAGTTGAACTTCAGTAGCCTATTCAGGAATATCGAGCTGGAACTAGCAGCTCCGAACTCTCAACCCTTCCGGCCTGCATCTGTATCCTGTACTCCTAGTCATCGTCATGTGCTACTTTCGCTGTACCGTTGGTGTTTCCGATATGGAAAGAAAACTGAGGATAGAGGCTTCGCGCTCGGGGGCGGCCTGCGCTCCTCCACTCCTCCACTCCACTCACGTGTCCCTGATTCACTCCTCCACTCTTCCAAGCAGCATATCTTGACTGTCATGCCATCAACGGTGCCCCCCGTTGGTTGTCGAGGCTTTTAAGTACACTCCACGAACTGTTCCTGAAACGGCGCATGCTGATCGACAGGCGCCGCTACACCGCCAATTTGTGTAGGTTTGAAGCAAGGCACGTCTCGAATGTCGGAAGGTCACATGTGATAGAACATTAATCAAGGCCATGCGCTACACAAAATACGCAACGCTGTGGCAATGCCACTGACCGCTGCGGTGATGATGATGCCAAGAAGCAACCAGGAAGAGTTGTTGCAGGGTGGGGGTGCCTTCACTGGTGCTGGCGCCTTCACTGGCGGGATGTGGTCTATTGTGGTCTACAACACCTGTATTGATAATTTTCATCTTCCCTCTCCCAGTTTCTGAATCTTTTTCGCAGGGAGGCAGGCCCCTCTCAGTCTTCTTCAGCTCTCTCGCTCTTTCTCCCCCACTCTCTCCCACTTGTTCCTCGTTGCCGAGAACTTGGCAACGTCAATTTCTCTACACCACGAGTCTGCAAATTGGTTTCCAATTGTTTTGGTTAGTTCTTCGTCTGCTGCTCGCTTCAGTGCACGATTTTGCCCTGCATGTCGCAGAAAAGCACGCTGCCCGGACCTCAACCGACGGCGCGAAACCGCAAAACTCCCTACACTACTCCGTCTTTGGTAGCTTTTCTCCTAGGTTTCGCGGTGCTTTTGGTTCGAAAAGCGCAATTCCAAGCCGCAATGCCCCCACACGAATGTAGCAGGGGCCTCCTTCAATATTCCTCTTCAGGCAGCTTCGGACGAGGACCAAGGCAGCGCTGAGCAGGCGACGTCTCTGTGTGATGTCGTGCTTGAAATTGCGAGGCTACTGGAGCGACTCAACCGTGGAGTCGCTGTACCAGCGGTCCTCGCGGAAGGCTCGGCTTTGCCATGCATTGAGGTGAGACTCCCAGGATGCTCCTGTCCTGCAGGAGCCCGCCCAAAGGCCGAAACTTCTGTGACGTCGAAGCTTGGTCCTTTGCTTTCCTATGCGCTTGTTGTTGGAGGAGCTGGAAGAATCCGAAAGGCTGTGCATCCAGTAACTCCGAGTATATGTCAAGTTTTGACAGGAGAATGCTAAGATACCATGGGCAGAACGCGCCGAAAGGGGCGCCAATGGGCGGCCCGCCGGCCCCACCGCCCGCCCCCCCCCCTCTCCCCTTCCCAACGCCCCGGCCTCGCCCCGTCGTCTCCAAGCGTCAACCGCAACAGTGCAAACTGCGCAGCAGCAGAAGCTTTGGGACTTCAGACGCATCTCCATGGTTCCAACAGAAAATGAATATTCATTTCCTGCGCCCGGTTTTAGTCCATGGTGTTCTCGGGTATGTATCCGTTTAATCTGGGCGTCATAGCCCCAAACCCTACAGTTCGGGCATGCCGAGGAAGCTCGCCTCGCTGAGCGGAAGGGGACCATGGCCCGAGGCCGGGTTTCGTGCAGCAGCTTTTCTATCGGGCTTTCCATATTTCGAAATATTTCGAATACGGCTCTCGTAGGACTTTTCAAAAGCTTTGTAGGGCCTTATGATAGGGCTTTCATAAAGCGAGGAGTGGAGATGTCACGGAAGCTCAATATCACGGCCTTTGACAGGAAATTCCCTGCCAAGTACTCTGACTTCCAGCTCCCATGTCAGTCGCCAAGCGTGATGGTTCTTAACCAACCCGCTAGGTTACCAGTGGGTTCGATCCGGATTGGACAGCATGTGGTAGCCAGAGCGTGCCAGAGAAGCTGTGACTGGAGGCCTCCGACCGCACAAAAACCACGGCGGACGAGGTCGGTGCGGTTTTTGCACCCGGTTCGTGGACATTTTGGATCTAGCAGCTGCTGTTGGAACGAGTTTTCCAAGCTCCGGCATCCTGCTGAGATCTTCAGGGAACCCAAACACTACGTCTCACACTTCACCGGCAAGCCGGGTCAGTAGATCGTGTCGGAGGTTGTTTCCAGGGTGTGGCAAGGCCAAATTACTAGCACAGGGATTGCACACGTGTGAAGGCCAATGATGCGCAGAAAGCCATGGTGGACCAGGCAACATCAGTCGCCGGCTTACAAGCACCCTCAATGATGCTGAACTCTCAGAGGACCCTATATGACCCTAACATACCCTAGCTACTTCTGTGTGAGTCTTTGCCCTTGCTGTCAGGCCGAGAAGCTTGCGAAGGCGCCAGCGAACCGGATTGGTCTGAGTTCGAGTGAAGTTAGGAAGTTCGACATCCCGCTCAATGTTGTACACGTTCTGCACAATTGCCCCAGCTGCGACAACTTGCGTCACTTGCGAAATGGCGCCGGCGAGCTTGCTGCGGCTCATTGAAGAGGCAGCTGCCTTGCTGCTGCTGCTGCTGCTGCTGCTGCTTCTTTGCACGAAAACTACCCAACACGATGGGGGTGTAACAGTGCAGGCATGTGCAGAGACAAGAGGGAGCGCAATTTTCTCAGCTATGGGCACTGCTGATTGTTGTAAGCAAAAAGAGCTGGCTGTGCAGCAAAGAGTGTATCCGTCCGCCTGCAGAGAGTACGAGAGAGACGTCGAAGGAGACTGAGCAGGTGGGCTGAGCAAAGCTGTGCCTGCAGGTAATCTCTGATGCCATGCAAAGCGTCCGATGCCAAGTGCTTCCAGCACATGTTACCAGCAAGCTGGGTCAGTAGATCGTGTCGGAGGTTGTTTCCAGGGTGTGGCAAGGCCAAATTACTAGCACAGGGATTGCACACGTGTGAAGGCCATCGATGCGCAGAAAGCCATGGTGGACGACGCAACATCAGTCGCCGGCTTACAAGCACCCTCAATGATGCTGAATGCATCTTCACCGAGCGAAGTTCGCCTTCGATCTCTCAGAGGACCCCATATGACCCTAACATACCCTAGCTACTTCTGTGTGAGTCTTTGCCCTTGCTGTCAGGCCGAGAAGCTTGCGAAGGCGCCAGCGAACCGGATTGGTCTGTGTTCGAGTGAAGTTAGGAAGTTTCTCAGCTATGAGCACTGCTGATTGTTGTAAGCAAAAAGAGCTGGCTGTGCAGCAAAGAGTGTATCCGTCCGCCTGCAGAGAGTACGAGAGAGACGTCGAAGGAGACTGAGCAGGTGGGCTGAGCAAAGCTGTGCCTGCAGGTAATCTCTGATGCCACGCAAAGCGTCCGATGCCAAGTGCCGACAGTGGATTCTTGCAGAGTCCTGGGGCCAGAAAACAGCTTGAATGTCAGCTTGCACAAGACAAGACTCCTCCTGCACAGCCATATCAAACCCGCTAGGTCACCAGTCACCAGTGGATTCGATCCGGGATTAGACAGCACTTGGAAGCCAGAGCATGCTAGCGAAGCTGTGACTGAAGGCCTCCGATCATCTAGGCACACAACTAAGATAAGCGCGTCACGCTTCAGATTCTCTACATCCTGAACTCGGAGCCCCAGAACCCCAAACCCAAAACCCAAAACACCCTAAACTGCAAGCCAACGCAGCAAAACCCTCTTATTCTCAAGGGATCATTGTGGGATTGGGGCGCAAGGGTTGCATAGAATCCAACAATCCCTGAATAACTTTCCTAGGGTCTGGGGCTTAGAAGGGGTTAAGGTTTAGGGATTTCAGGTTATAGGTTTTCGGCCTAGGCATGGGCTTTAAGCTCCCACACCAAAAGGATGAGAGCATAGCCACCGGCGCTGTTGAAGGCACCGCCCATGGTGCGGCCGGGCGACTTGCCGGTCAAGGCCGGGAAGGACTAGCCTGAAGCTGTCCGTAACTTCAACCTCTCAGACGCTATGGATGGCTCGCATGAGGACTCTTTTAAAGGGGTTGGGGGCGTCCCGCTGGATAGTGGCCTTGAGCTGCGAAAGCTTCAAGGATTTATGAGGTGTGAAGCTGTGGGGGATTTGGGGCGTAAGGCTCCTGGATTTTAGGCTTAGGGTCTTCGGGTTCCTGAGTCTGCTCCCGAGATTTCTCCCAAGGCCGAAAACTTGAGGTCATAGCGGTCCCTAAACCCCAAACCCTTTGGGTGCAGACCCTAGAACCGTAAAGCACCATCAAGCCCTAAACGGTTTTCTGGGATGAAATAGAGGGTAGTTGGGAGTCTAGGCAGAGCACCCCCACCGCCGCTGTTGAAGGCACCGCCCATGGTGCGGCCGGGCGACTTGCCGGTCAAGGCCGGGAAGGACTAGCCTGAAGCTGTCCGTAACTTCAACCTCTCAGACGCTATGAATGACTAGCATGAGGACTCTTTTAAAGGGGTTGGGGGCGTCCAGCTGGATAGTGGCCTTGAGCTGCGAAAGCTTCAAGGATTTATGAGGTGTGAAGCTGTGGGGGATTTGGGGCGTAAGGCTCCTGGATTTTAGGCTTAGGGTCTTCGGGTTCCTGAGTCTGCTCCCGAGATTTCTCCCAAGGCCGAAAACTTGAGGTCATAGCGGTCCCTAAACCCCAAACCCTTTGGGTGCAGACCCTAGAACCGTAAAGCACCATCAAGCCCTAAACGGTTTTCTGGGATGAAAAAGAGGGTAGTTGGGAGTCTAGGCAGAGCACCCCCACCGCCGCTGTTGAAGGCACCGCCCATGGTGCGGCCGGGCGACTTGCCGGTCAAGGCCGGGAAGGACTAGCCTGAAGCTGTCCGTAACTTCAACCTCTCAGACGCTATGAATGACTAGCATGAGGACTGTTTTAAAGGGGTTGGGGGCGTCCCGCTGGATAGTGGCCTTGAGCTGCGAAAGCTTCAAGGATTTATGAGGTGTGAAGCTGTGGGGGATTTGGGGCGTAAGGCTCCTGGATTTTAGGCTTAGGGTCTTCGGGTTCCTGAGTCTGCTCCCGAGATTTCTCCCAAGGCCGAAAACTTGAGGTCATAGCGGTCCCTAAACCCCAAACCCTTTGGGTGCAGACCCTAGAACCGTAAAGCACCATCAAGCCCTAAACGGTTTTCTGGGATGAAAAAGAGGGTAGTTGGGAGTCTAGGCAGAGCACCCCCACCGCCGCTGTTGAAGGCACCGCCCATGGTGCGGCCGGGCGACTTGCCGGTCAAGGCCGGGAAGGACTAGCCTGAAGCTGTCCGTAACTTCAACCTCTCAGACGCTATGAATGACTAGCATGAGGACTCTTTTAAAGGGGTTGGGGGCGTCCAGCTGGATAGTGGCCTTGAGCTGCGAAAGCTTCAAGGATTTATGAGGTGTGAAGCTGTGGGGGATTTGGGGCGTAAGGCTCCTGGATTTTAGGCTTAGGGTCTTCGGGTTCCTGAGTCTGCTCCCGAGATTTCTCCCAAGGCCGAAAACTTGAGGTCATAGCGGTCCCTAAACCCCAAACCCTTTGGGTGCAGACCCTAGAACCGTAAAGCACCATCAAGCCCTAAACGGTTTTCTGGGATGAAATAGAGGGTAGTTGGGAGTCTAGGCAGAGCACCCCCACCGCCGCTGTTGAAGGCACCGCCCATGGTGCGGCCGGGCGACTTGCCGGTCAAGGCCGGGAAGGACTAGCCTGAAGCTGTCCGTAACTTCAACCTCTCAGACGCTATGAATGACTAGCATGAGGACTGTTTTAAAGGGGTTGGGGGCGTCCCGCTGGATAGTGGCCTTGAGCTGCGAAAGCTTCAAGGATTTATGAGGTGTGAAGCTGTGGGGGATTTGGGGCGTAAGGCTCCTGGATTTTAGGCTTAGGGTCTTCGGGTTCCTGAGTCTGCTCCCGAGATTTCTCCCAAGGCCGAAAACTTGAGGTCATAGCGGTCCCTAAACCCCAAACCCTTTGGGTGCAGACCCTAGAACCGTAAAGCACCATCAAGCCCTAAACGGTTTTCTGGGATGAAAAAGAGGGTAGTTGGGAGTCTAGGCAGAGCACCCCCACCGCCGCTGTTGAAGGCACCGCCCATGGTGCGGCCGGGCGACTTGCCGGTCAAGGCCGGGAAGGACTAGCCTGAAGCTGTCCGTAACTTCAACCTCTCAGACGCTATGAATGACTAGCATGAGGACTCTTTTAAAGGGGTTGGGGCGTCCCGCTGGATAGTGGCCTTGAGCTGCGAAAGCTTCAAGGATTTATGAGGTGTGAATCTGTGGGGGATTTGGGGCGTAAGGCTCCTGGATTTTAGGCTTAGGGTCTTCGGGTTCCTGAGTCTGCTCCCGAGATTTCTCCCAAGGCCGAAAACTTGAGGTCATGGCGGTCCCTAAACCCCAAACCCTTTGGATGCAGACCCTAGAACCGTAAAGCACCATCAAGCCCTAAACGGTTTTCTGGGATGTAATGGAGGGTCGTTTGGAGTCTAGGCAGAGCACCCCCACCGCCGCTGTTGAAGGCACCGCCCATGGTACGGCCAGGCGCCTTGCTGGTCAAGGCCGGGAAGGACTAGCCTGAAGCTGTCCGTAACTTTAACCTCTCAGACGCTATGAATGACTAGCATAAGGACTCCTTTAAAGGGCTTGGGGGCGTCCCGCTGGATAGTGGCTTTGAGCTGTGAAAGTTTCAAGGATTTTTGAGGTGTGAAGCTGTGCGGGATTTGGGGCGTAAGGCTCCTGGACTTTAGGCTTAGGGGCTTAGGGTTCCTGAGTGCTCCCGAGATTTCTCCCAAGGCCGAAACGGTATTCTGGGATGAAATAGAGGGTAGTTGGGAGTCTAGGCAGAGCACCCCCACCGCAGCTGTTGCAGGCGCCGCCAATGGTGCGGCCTGGCATGTGCTAGTTGAAGAAGGCGGGCCCAGGAGCGCAACAACCAGAGAAGCTGTCATGTATGTGGGACTGTCCTCGGCGCGCTCTCAGTCTGCTTTGTTGTTTGATTGTTCTGGTGCATGGTGCAGGATTGTCGGAGATACTGCGGGGTGAGCCACGAGATCCCGTTCTCAAAGTTTGAAGGGGGCGCAAAACTTGGCAACCCAAACGAAGCACATCGAACGACCTTGGGCAGATCGATGTGCTGGAATACCTCTTTGGTGGATAGCCGGGTTAACTCTTCCGGCCAAAGCTGGCCGCTCAGCTTCCGTCCCTCATGTCGGGACAAGGGAGCTGGAACTTGCCCTGCGGCAGAAAACAGGCAGACAAAGAACGCCAGCGTCAGGATCACGAAGTTGACGTTCCCCTCACAGAGGCGCATGTCGACCTTCAAATCGCGCAGAAGATGTTAGGTCCCGCACTCCCGAATCAGCAGTTCCTGTGGCTTCAGCCAAAGCTACTAGGATTGCTAAGTTGCTAGCAGCTCCGTAGGCCGTAGATATGGTTTTGATGCCGCATCCACTTTCGTAATGAACGCGCAAAGTCACTATCGGCGACGACAATAAACCCTGGGTTGGTGTATAAACTTTCGGTTGAGATCTTGAAAATAGGATTTCCCTTCTCCTCGCCACCACGTTTTGGAGCAAAGTTCCTGATTGGTTTGGGAAAGTGTGAAACCATTGCTATTTGCCGTGTTTTCTCAATGTCATTTTGTGAAGACGACGATGAAGACAAGTAGAAGATGTAAGGCCACCAAATGCATACTGCACATCATACCAATGTAGGAGTCCTAGAAGCCGCTATAAACGCTGAAGTTTTCATGGCCCTAAAGCCTCAAACCCCTCAACCTTAAATCCAAATCTTACATCTAAGCCGGACGCCCCCGGACGCCCATGATGGCTCGGACAGGCTGATGTTATACCATTTCGAGCTCGAGCATTTTTCGTTTCAAGCGTCGTCTCGGGCATCTCGTCGATTCAATGCCATCCAAACAAGCGAACATTGGGAAGCTGACCTTCTACCGCCATGGACATCGACGCGACGTTTCCATGGAGGCGCTTGGTTCCTGCGGTCCAAAGGATATCTGGAGATGATTTGGATGTTCAGCTTGCTGCGAGGTGCCTCAAACAGAGCTCTTGCTTCCTTGGGCCTGCACCTCGGGCCTCTGGCTCCCCTCAACATCCGTCAAAGTCTTGTCGTCTCTCTGTGTCGCATTCATTGGGGATGCACGGAGAATGCAACTCAGGTGGAAAAATATAGACCCGCTTCATTGGGTCAGCTTGTCGCGCATGAGGAGCCTGCCCTCAGCACCATTGGCACACCATGGATTGGTAGTGGCTCGATGTGTAGAGTGTAGAGGACATCATCCGGATGATCGAGAGGATGATGGCAAAGAAGACTCTGCCGCACATGTGCCGAAGTGGCAACAGTCGTCCGCCTAAGCCTTTTTGACGAGGGACCCGGCATTCTGCAGGTTATTTCACGACCCCTCTGGCACGGGCAAGACCTCGACCATCATGGGCCTTGCAAAGACAATGCACGGGGCCTCGGTTTTTGGTTCCAGTGCACCTGAAGTTTTCCCGTAGTTCTGCCAGTTTGTGCCCACATGTGCCTAGCGTTCCAGAACAGAGGTACAAGGAGCGATAAAAGTCCAAATGAATGCATCTGATGCACGCGGCATCGACGTGGTTCGTGAGCAAATCAAGACCTTTGCTGGCAGCCCAGGGGATCCCGAGTGCTCATATTGCCTCTCGCGACATATATACTGTAGTACAGTGCTTGTTCTGTGAGAAAGGCGTTCACGTAACATGTAAGGTCCCCGCTGGTTTGCTCCCCAAGCACCTTTGTGCTGGCCTGAGGTCAGCGCTGTGGACGGGCAGCCCAAGCTAATCATCCTGGACGAGGCGGCAGCTGCAGAGAGCTGCGGTCCTGTGAGGGTGAGGTCTGCCTCGGTATGATGCAATCATGTACGATATACGTGCGGCTTGTGTCAAAAGAGTGGCGTTTCGTTTCAGATGGTTTGGCCCCTGTTGCGATAACTGGCGACTCCTTGAGGGACCGACAACATGACAATGACGAGCACAGCACAATGTGCTTTGCGGCGGATGATCGAGCAGTGCCTCGGACTGACTGTGATAGTTTTTTGCATGGAACAGCCGGGAGCAGCATCGAACCCAAGTTCAGGTAGGAGTCGCTCAGAATTGTCGGGCCAGTGAGGAGGAAGAAGAGGAAGAACGGGACATCCGATGAAACTGCTGCTGAGCCTGCGCAGCTGAGTCGCGCTGCATCAGCGCTTCGCACCACTCTCCCAAGCAATTCAGTTCATCGAGCGCATCACGCATCTTCGCAAGCTGTCGCCCGGACAGCACCATCTGTCATGACCCTTGAAAGCTCGGGAGCAGATCCTAGGTCAACCTGGGTCGCGTTGAGTACATCGTGAAGGTCCAGCTCCTGTGCGGGTCACTCCAGGTGTTCCAGTGGTCCATGTCTTCGATGTGTGGGGGTGTCTCGTTTTTCTTCCCCACCTTGGTGTGGGGTTGTTAGATTTTAGACTCAACTCTTCTCCTCGCCCGGAACTCCCTCGCCTGGAACTCTTCTCTTCGCCCGGTCTACTCCTAGAGACTCCCTGGAGTGCCCACCTAGAGTGCCCAAATTCAGAATCTCCCTGCAGTGCCCGACCGCAGGGTCTCCCTGGAGTGCCCAACCCCAGGGTCTCCCTGCCCAGCCCTGAAGTGCCCAGTCGCCTGCGCAAGGTCAAGTTTTCACCGATGGCCTTCTTCCTCGTTGCAGCCGGTGCGAATCATTTGCGTCTTGGCTCACAGTGTAATACGTGAAGGGCCTGTGCAACAAAGGCTCCGCGGTTAGGCTGTCTGGGATGCCGGGAGCTTGGGCCTTTCGAGCATTGCTGTGTGTGTTGAGAGCAGAGCATAGCTTTGTTTGTGGCAGGTGTGAACCACAGAGATGAGAGCCCGTGCTTCCTTGGTGTTTGAGGCCTCATTCTGAAAACTGGGCGAAGACCGTCGCAGCAGTAGAAGCATGCTACACGAGGCATGAGTATGGATTGAACAGCACAAGCTCCGAACTAACCTCCGAGCTGGTGTTTCAGAAAAGCAGACTACTTGCAGTGTTAGCGTGTTGCACAACGACAAAAGCTGTTCGGACGAGGCCGGCCGTGGCAACCTCGACTCGTTCCTCGCCAGAGCACTTCGGTACGCAACAGACAGAGGTGAAGGGCCGACACTAGTAAACTTGGTCTTCATGCAGTCTCCTCAAGGGACTCAAAAGCTCTTCTCGCCGCGAGAGTTCGATGCCTTGGATCGACGTCTACCAGTTTGGTTTGGAAATAAGGCCAATAAGGCACCCTCTGGGGTCCAAAGAAGAGGCCCCGAAAAAGAGTACAGTACATTGACATGTGGGTATCGCTTAGACCTTGTTATTCCCCCCGCATGAAGAGTCCCGATTGCAGGAAGCCCAAGGCAGGCTCAGCAACCTTGAAACCCATAAGCCCAAACTTGACATCCATAAGCCCAGGTATTGCTAGTCAATCAGGCTCTACATGACCCTAAACCCGAACCCTAGACCCTAAACCCAACCCGAAGCCCCAAACCCCAAAACATTAAACCTAGCCTATAAACCCCAAAACCCAAACCAGGCTAAACCCAAAAGCCAAATTAAACCCTATAGACCCTGAACCCTAAGCCCCAAACCCCCTTCAAGGATCCCCAGAACATGGCACCCCGTCAGGGGTTTTTTTTCATCGGCTGGGAAGAGTCTTGAATTATTGGCAGGCTCCATTCTTTGGATCCCTTGGGGTCTGCATAGGCGATCCTCTGCGCCTTTGTCATGTGAGAAGAGGACGAGTGTCGAGGATTTGATAAGATTTGTATCGGTTCGATAGGCTTTGGCTCCGGTTTGTTTCTGTATTCATGTCCACAGCTTTCCACGGCCACTATTCCTCTCAACATGATCTAAATATGGATTTCTCAACATAATCCCGATAAAGTTCCGCATAAGGACCCGCATGTTTATCTTCTTGTAATCCCTAGGCCTCTTGGATCTTATAAAGGGCCCCTTGTCAGAAGCTCACAAGTCTCAAATCCTGAGCCGCAATCCTCGGCGTCGCGCCCTGGACCTGATGTCCAGCCCTGCTCTCAGACAAAACCACATGAGCGCCAGCTGAGTTCGCTTGAGTTAGCTAAGTATTTCTGAGTAATGTGGCCTTGGACCTTGTGCAGTTCGGCTCTAGAACCCAGTTGCATGGACTCTGGGCCTAAATCAACATCCCTACTCCCTAAACCCAAAGAGCCCTGCGCTAGTTGGCTCGGTGTTCTGCCCTGAGGGCCATGCACGTCCTTTCATTCTGTGAGAAATTGCATCACCACCCTCATCTCAACACCATAAAGGTCCGGCATCGGGCGTTTCCACCCCAAGAGTGGAGCAGTCAAAAAACCTCGCGCCAACCCTAAACCCCAACAGCTCCAAGCCCTAAACTCCCTAAGCTCCCTAAGCCCTAAACTCTAAACGCTGAATCTGCCCGTACAAGCCGTCGAAGCCCTACAAGCCCGATGCGCACTATAAGCTTTCCCGAAAAACCACTATAGACCCTGAAGATTTCGTGTCCCTAAGGCCTCTAGCCCCCAACCTTGAATCCAAATCTTACATCTTAGCCGGACGCCCATGATGGCTCGAACAGGCTGATGTTATACAGTTTTTCCATCTCGAGCTCGAGCATCTTTGGTTTCAAGCGTTGTCTAGAGCATCTCGTCGTTTTTTCAACACCATCCAAAAAATCGAACGCTGGGAAGCCGACATCGCCATGGACGTCGACGCGACTGCAACAGATGTTTCCATGGAGGCGCTTGGTTCCTGCCGGTCCGAAGGATATCGGGGATGATTTAGATGTTCAACTTGCGGCGAGGCGCCTCAAGCAGAGCTCTTGCTTCCGTGGGCCTGCACCTCGGGCCTCTGGCACCCCTCAACATCCGTCAAAGTCTTGTCGTTTCTCTATGTCTCATTGTGATTCTGCTATCTGGATTTTCGTTGGGAATGACCGGAGCATGCAACTGAGGTGGAAAAGTATAGACCCGCTTCATTGGATCAGCTTGTCGCGCATGAGGAGCCTGCCTTCAGCACCGTTGGCACACCATGGCTTGGTAGTGACGCGATTGGGTAAAGGACATTATCCGGATGATCGAGAGGATGATGGCCAAGAAGACGCTGCCGCACATGTGCCGCAGCGGCAATAGTCCTTTGGCGAAAGCCTGTTAGCGGGGGAGCGGGAACTCTGCAGGTTGTTGCATGGGCCCCCTGGCACGGGCAAGACCTCGACCATTATGGCCCTTGCAAAGACAATGCACGGGGCCTCGGTCTTTGGATCCAGTTCCCGGTTTGTGCCCACATATGACCCAATGGCCCGTAGCTGAGGTACAAGGAGCGATACAAGTCCATGACGCTGGAGATGAATGCATCTGATGCGCGCGGCATCGACGTGGTTCGTGAGCAAATCAAAACCTTTGCTGGCAGCCCAGGGTTCAAGAATCCAAGGAGCTCACATCATGAGATTCGAGTGCTCATCTTGCTGCGGAGCCACGCTGATATACTGCAGTACAGTGCATCCTATGAGAGAAATCAGTTCACGAAATATGTAAGATCCCAACAGCTACTGAGCTACTGCCCAAGGGGCTTTGTGTTGGCCTGAGGTCAGCGTGAAGCAGCTGTTCGGCTCTGTGGACGGGCAGCCCAAGCTGGTCATCCTGGACGAGGCGGCAGCTGCAGAGAGAGTAAGAGGTTGCGTGTGGACTTCAAGAGAGATCAAGTCAGTTGAGGTTTGACTCGGTGTGACGCAAATTGTGTTCGTCGCGTAAAGATCATGTGCGATGTGTGGAGAATCTGTGTTAAAAGAGGGGTGTCGTCAACGGTGGGGTCTGATGGTTCGTACCCTGTTGTGATCTATTGCGAGCTCTTTTTGAGGCCGACAACATGACGAGCACGGCACAATTTGCTTTGCGGCGGATGATCGAACAGTGACTCGGTGAGTTCTTTGCAGAGAACAGCCGGGAGCAGCATCGAACTCACATTCAGGTATGCCTCCAACTGCCGGTTCATTCTGATTTGCAACTACAGCAGCAAGATCATCCCGGCGCTGCAGCCATTATCTCAGCTTGGGGCGTTTGTAATCAAAGGAATGATGAGAGTGACCAGAGAGTCCGTTCGTTGCTTTGAAAGAGTCATTCAAAACGTTTGGGCCAGCGGGGAGGAAGAAGAGTAAGAACGGGAGATCAGATACGGTGCCGTCGAGTCTGCACAGCTGAGGTCGCGCTGCACCAAGCTACGCTTCGCACCACTCTCCCAGGAAGTCAGAGCAGTGCACCACGCATCGTGCCGCATCGTGGCGCATCGTGGCAGCTTGACACCAGCACCTGTCATGTCAGGAGCAGATCCTTGGCCGACTTGAGTACGTCGCGAAGGTCCATCTCCTTTGCGGGTCGCTCCGTTTTGGCACTGTGCACCTGGATTCAGTGTTAGATGTCATGTTTTCTACAAGTTCCCCCCTGCTCAGTGCGAGAAGATCCAGCTGACAAATGAAGGCGCAAAGGCCATCGTGCAGGCAGGAAAGGGCCCAGCATGGCGACATATGGCAAGACGTACAACATTGTGGCCCTGCTATCCATGGAGCGTGAGATGTGAGAGAAGGTGAGTGGGGGAGGCCGGAGAACATTCTGTTGTTTCTGTGCGGTGAGAGATTCGCTGATTGGCAGGTTGCGGGCGGAGACATGCGAAAGGTTCTCAACGTCTTCCAGACCACATCCATGGGCGCCGTTCTGAAGAATCTCCGAATCCTCGCTGTGAGCCCTTGCGTTGTCTGAGCAAGCCTTTCGAAGGATATCGGTGTTTTGCGGAGGGTGCTCTTCGCTTTCTTCGCCTTTGAGGCCACGCTGGCCGCGTGGATGCTGGCGCCGTGTACACCTCGACAGGGGTCCCAGCTCCAGAGGCGCCTTCGGCTTCGGGTGCCACAGCGCTTTGCGCAAACTGAATACTCCCACAGAAGGGTCCCAAGTGGTCCCAAAGCATATCCCATGCTCAGGAGATCGACCACTTTCTGAAAACCCTTCTGAATGGCTCGGTTGGGAGCCTGGTTGCTCAACCCGACTCAACCCTCCCCGTTCTCTTTGTCTATTCTCCGCTGCCAAAAGAGAGGTGTCCTTCGCCGCATCCCTGACGTCCCTGAAAGGTTTGCCAGAGCCTCTCCTTGTCAAGAAGCGGCACATACTATGAGTCTAGAGTATAGGAGATGCACACCTATCCTCGGGGTTCCCAGGCTGAGTGCCAAAGGCTACGCCCTGGATGACTTCTTGTAGCTTGGCGACGTTCTTGCTGCGATATTTCTTCGAGATGTTTTGTGATGGGTGGCCCTGGCGCCTTTGCACTTTGCATCCATTTGCGACAGCAGAGCGCGCGAGAGAGATTGTGAGAGAGATTGAGAGAGTAACTCTGGTGAACCAAGGGGGCGGAAGGGAGGGGGGGTGTACGGGGCTTTACTACGGCTTGTTAACTAAGGCTTATCTGGGATTATGAAGCCCTTATGTGGGGAATATGGGGTCCTTGCACCTCCTTGGTTCCTTTTGAGGGTTTCGGAGCGGATGGATATGCGGTGCCGAACGCATCCGAAGCCCCTCAAAGAAAAAAAGAAGCAAAGAAAGAAGGAAAGAAAGAAATAAAGAAAGAAAGAAAGAAGACAAAAAGAAAGAGTAACTCTGGTACTCGAGCGCGCCTCGGCGCGACCGGCGTTAGGCCCGCTGGAATGAAGGAAGGAGCGAAAAGAGAGCTACAGCAAAGCAGCTGATCTCAGGATTTTGCGATAAGGCGCCCTGCATGGGGGCCTGGCCTCCGCCTAGCCCCAACAAAGCGACTTTAATAGAAAAGGAAGAACGTAGTAAAGAAAGAATCAAGAAGGAAAGATAAGAAAGCACGAGCGAACTAGCGCAAACAAACAATAACAGGAAGAAGGACGTGACACAAAGAAACGCACACAAACAAAACCGAGGCTGTTGATGCACAAGCAGATCATTGCCTTGGACTTGCCGGCCTGACACTTATGGGTGAAAAGCCGTTTTCGGAGTGTTTGCCTCATTTTGCCGCAGGTCTTAGCAGTCATAGCATATCTTATGTTATATCCCAGCCATGTTCGACCCTGGGAGGTGCGCCAGCGCTTGCAGTTGACAGTAGCCTTGGCTGACATCGATTGGCGGCTGAAGCAGGCTGTGGAACTGCGCAAATTTGTTGGCGGTCCTCTTCCACAATCTTTGCATTCTTTTGTTGTTTTTTGTTCTACTACCTTCTACTGCAAAGAGTGCCCAGCGAAGGGATGCAGCGACTCCATTCAGCTGGGGGCCATCGTCGGGATCTTTCACGAGGCTCAGTGGGGGGTTTCGCACCGGCCGGCGCGCTTGCACTTTCCATTCCTCCAAGCTTCTTGAAAAAATCTTGGGGCAGAGAGGCGCGAGCCCTTGGCGGTGCCTAGAAGAGGCCGATGGGACTTTGGAGCGTGAGTCGCTTGGACCTGGGTGTGTGAAGTCACGTGAAGATGGACGTTGTTACAGGTCTGGAGAGCGCATACCCACCGGCCCGTGGGCAGCGAGTAGTCGCGCTGGCTCGTGCGTCTGGGAGCCGGGGCCCCGTGGACCAACACCTGAGCGTGACGTTCTTGAATCTTTCGAGCTTTTCCGCTGTTCCTCTGCTTCAGGTTCGCCAATCCTTGGGGAACACCGATTCATACTCGGGAAGAATTGGCGCGATTGGCAAAAAGCTTGCAGCACATCAAGTTTGGCAGTAGGGGTGTCGCCGTGGTTGGCACTAAGGGTTCCCCTTTACCTTGCTCTTCTGCACGTAAATCGCTCCTCGAGTATGAAATCCCCACTCTCCCCCTAAACAAATATAAAGTTCAACCCTGGAGCCGCCTAGAGCCCTAAGAACAAAAGGCTGAGATCAAGGGCGGCAGCCCTCATTGCCCTCGGAGCCCTCAGCTTTCAACCAAGTGAAACCTTACCCTGAAGATAGGGCTATGGGGGAAATCCGGCCTACCGAAGGTGCACCGGCCTCCGAGCTAAGGTTTTCCGACCCCCCACGAGAACTTATGATTGGACTGCTCTTGCCGCCGATACCCCTTCGCAGGAGCCTTGGGATGGAGAAGGGCTAGGAGAGTGGAACTTGTGTACTAGTACTACTATTAAGCTTGGATCAGGAAGCGAACGAAAGCAGCAAAGAAACAAAGAAAGAAATAAACAAAGAAGGATTGACAGAAAGAAAGAGCAACGTAACAAGGACAGAAAGACAACAAAAGGAAGAACCAAAGAGGGTAAGCAAGAACGAAATGGCCTGCAATTATTTTGACCCGTTTATTTTTGCTTTTTAACCTTTTTGTTTTTCATAAGGGTCTCCGAGCAAATTTCAGAGGAAATAGAGGTTTCCCTGTTCAAATACAAGGAACTAGAGTTTTACGTTGAGAATTTCTATCCTCTATAGCATGCTCTAGGAGGTGCAAGGGCAGGGGAAACCTTTTGAAACCAATCACGCGAGCAGGGTGTTTACAAACGGGGGTGGTGCAACCCGCCCCCAACCCCCCCAACCCCACCCCCCCCCCCCCCCCCCCCCCCCCCCCCCCCCCCCGTTTTTGTAAAAGCCGTGCAAGCTGCATATACCAAAAAAGTTCGACACAGTAAACCCCCAAATTTGTTAAGAAAGCCTCTGAAAGGAAACCTCGACCCTCTGTGGTTTTATCTTTTTAGAATCCCTGTGTGTCCTTTAATTCTAAAACCTCTATGTCCTGAATCTTTGGGAAAGGCAGACGCCTCTATGTCCTCTATATGTGAATAGTACAATCTCTAGTTTCTCCGCATATTCAATTGGCAAACCCTCTTTTTCCTCCGCCTTGTATGGCAAACCTCTATATCTTTTCATTCTTAATGGCGAAACCCTGCCTTTGAACGGAAAACCTTCACTTCCTTTGTAATTGGATCGGGAAAACCCTTTAGTCTATATTTTCACAGGAAACAAAACGCAAAACAAATTCCTCTACCGTTTAAAGAAATACAGGACCACGTAAAGAAAGCAAGAAAGTAAGACATAGATAAGAAGAGAGCAAGGCGGAAAGATTAAAGAAAACGAATGAGGGGCTGACAGAAAGGGCTTGCTAAGGATAGTTCTTCGTGCGATATGGGGAGCGAAAAACGAAGAGCATTCGCAGCCCCGAAGGCAGCAAGTGCGCTTTAACCATGTATCCGTATATCTGCAGTTTTGGCTGTTTTGGTCTTGAGCGAAACTCCTTGAAAAGGCCTGCAGCATCAGCTTGTGCCGTTTATGAACATACTCTGCAAGTCAGATCTCAACACCGTTATCAAGCAGGCAGCTGCCAGACGGCGGTTCTTCTTCTTGCTATTATTCTTTGTGCGTGCTTGCGTTTGTCTGAATGTGCTGCTGTATTTGATCTTCGCATGGGCTGTGATGACCACTCATTTGCCAATCTTTGGTTGCAGTCTGACAAGGTTGAGGCTGCCGGTGCAGCAGTCTAGCGGAAGCGATGCTGTGGATTCGCCGTCGCGGTCTTCTGTTCACTCTTGCTCTGCGGGGTTTCAAGGCTTGTTTACTTTCGTGAAGTTTGCCCAAGACCCCGCCCCTCCCCACCCCAAGCTGATGCTGCTGATGCTCGCGCCGGGGATCCCAAAGTCGGCATCGCTCCCTGAACCTGTGAGTTTCTCGTTCGTTTTGTCAAAACCTGACTATTGCAGTGATGCGTTTGAACGATGCTCTCGTGTCGGAGCTGTTCTTGCCCAAGCCGAAGCGCCCGTTCGTGGGCTGAGCTCTCAGTAGCATGATCGGGTAGCAAAGCGAGGCTGGCATGAGGCATGCGCTGAAACATTTCGTGGGGGTGATGCGGCGATGAGTTGAATGCTTGTGCGTGCCGACAGTGCCGACTCCAGGTGAATGCTATGGTCAAATGGAGATGGTTGCTCGCCCAAGCGCCCATCTTATGCCCTTGAATAAGAGTATCCGGCATCTTGCAGTTCTGGTATTCTGCCCCCGGGTCCTCCGGGCCAAGGTCTGGCTGACTGCTCTGGCGGCGCGTGCGAGGGACGCCCATTGCCGCCCGGCGGAGAGGGGGACACAGAAGTTAGTGAGACCGCCCCAAAGATAGGGGTGATGGGTGCGCTGACCCGCAGAGGGAGGGGGGGAGTTTCGGCTGCAAGCCGACAAAGTGCATTGAAAAGGAGAAGGAGCAGGAGAGGAGAAAGACACAGAATGAGGTGAGCCGATATGTAAATCACTGTTGCATACCTGGAAGACGGACTGTGCAGAACATCTGACTAGAGCTGCTTGAGTCGGTGGGGGAAGGGAATCGGAGAAGCTCCAGGCCACGCAATGCTGCCGCCGGGCGTGCTCCTCGGAGGGGCGCTGCTGAAGGATCAGGAGAGAAGAGCAGAGGGTCAAGAGGGCGTTGAGTCTTGCAGGGGCACTTTGGAGCCCAAACACCTCTAGACTCCTGGGTTCCGGGGCGCCCTCGCATTCGGCACATGCCACGCAATCGATTCGCTGGCCTTCGATGCTTGTGATTTTCTTTGCTGGTTTCCACTTGCTTGTGCGCGCCTGCTAAGTCTAAGTGGGTTCTCTGCCTATAGAAAGGCTCTCGTGTTTTGAGGGTAGCTCCGCGGCTTCAGTAGCTCTCCGGTGTTAGGAGCCAGCGGTCACGTGCAACGCCACAACGACCACACAGACGCAGACGAGCACCTCGTCAAGCTCCAGCACTGTGTCCTCCACCACCACCATAACCTCAACGACCATCTCGACGACGACGCTGACCAACCTTACAAACGAGACCACCACCACCTGGACAACCACCACAACAGAGTCGACCACGACAACGGAGACTTCGACCAGCAGTTCTTCGACAACCACCAGTGCTTCGTCCACTAGCACGTTGTCATCCACAAGCACGACACTCTCTTCGACGTCAACATCCTCCTCAAGCAGCACAGTTTCCACTACAACCAGCACAATTTCCACCACAACCACCTGGACCACCAGCAGCTCTACCATCACACTGTCATCCACCTCAAGCACATCAGTGCCTCAGCATATGAAGCTGCTTTTTTTCGAGAACATGGCCATACTGACTTGCATAGATTTGTTTTTGGTCCCTCTCTCTCTCTCTCTTTCCCCGCCTTCCCTCGCTGTGTTCCTTCCTTCCTTCTTGTCTCCATCTCTCTCCCTTCCCTCAGTTCCTTCTCAGTGTTCCGAGTTTGTGAGGTAACAGCTTCGTCCTCCACAAGCTCCACGGTCTCCGTCACATCCACCTCGTCGCAATCCATCACCAGCAGCACGATGACGTTGACCAGTTCGACAACCATGTCAAACACCAGCACGAGCAGCACGGAGACCTCCAAGAGCACCACAAGTACCTACACCACCACCACTCTTTCTTCCACGACGACGCTCTCGACAACAAGCTCATCCAGCAGCTCTACCGTTTCTTCCTCGACAGCGACCACTACCTCAGCAACAAAGACCTCAAGCACATCGACATCTGCCACGAGCTCCCTTACCACCTCCACAACAATCTCGTCCACGACCTGGACATCAACGACTTCGACGAACTTTAACATAACGCTGGAGAACACCACAACATCCACGACGGCAACAAACACGTCGACCAGCACCAGCACAAGCAAAAGCATCACCTCCAGCACCGAAACGACTTCCACAAGATCATCGCTCACCTTCAGCAGCACCACGCGCTCCAGCTCGACCACCACCACAGAGACCACTTCCACCACGCTCTCCAACACCACCCACACAACATCCACGACCAGCACCAGCTCCACGCAAAGCCACGCCGGGGGCGCCCAGCTTCTCGTGTGTGTGTGTGTGGGTGTGTGTGTGTGTTCATGTCGGGATGCAGCAGTTTGCAGTGGAAGATAAGTGGCAGTCTCGCTGCAGACCTCCTCCACCATCTCCACCACGTCCTCCTCCAGCACTTCGACGACCTCGACCAGCAGCAGCACCACCAGCAGCTTGGCCCGATGATGCTTGAACACTCCGCAGCACTCCGCCTTCCGGCCGAGCCTGAGAGAGTGCCGTGCCGTGCCCTCTGTCCGAGAGGTTTCACCAGCAGCTCAAGGCCAGACGTCACGGGGTTTCGTGTAGCGTTTCCGTTGCGTGTTTGCTCATGTTCTGGTCACTAACAGCTCCACGACCACGAGCTCAACGACCACTAGCTCCACCAGCACTACCTTGAAGTTCTGCGACACGCGCCAGCCCGGCTGCGGTTAGCAGAGGTTTGCGGGGCGTCTGTGCATGTGCGCGTGCAGCTGTCGCTGTCCAGCATTCGTGCGTGAGGTGTTCCAGTCTATAGGCTGTATAGTGATGTTCCCAGTCGGAAAGACCAACAGGGTAGCAAATCTGTTGTTAAAGACGAAGGGAATCGCCGGTACTAGAAAGTCTCGTAGCCTCATTCTTCGACGGCGGATGATGCGCCGGTCTTGGCTCTTTAAACTTTAAACATTGCAGCGGGATGTATCGCTCGGCCAGGAGACATCTGGCCAGGCCGGGTGGCTTCCGAGTTCGCGCAAGTACTTCCACTGAACACTAGGCCAGTAGGCAAAGGCTCGCCGAAGACACATGTTGCCAGTAAGGAGCCCCAACGAACGCTGTAGCACGCTGTGACCTAAGACGCTCGGAGGCGTGAAATTCTTCACCGGGACGTCGTGCAACTCTGTTGGCCGTGGCCCCGTTGGGAAGAGATGTGGATCCAAGAAAGGTTCCAAAGCGTGGTGTGGGGTGACAAAATGTGGGGTGACAGAACGTGGTCTTCTGCGCTCTCCTAGGCCGAGGTGGCACCTGCGAGCTCCGATTCATCGACATGTGGGCCGAGAGTATCCAGGACCCTTCGGTGGCTTTGTGATCCTTGAGAACATGTGCGCGCTCTCCATTAGAATTGAGAACACGGTGTGAACTCTCCTTTTGAGAAGAAAGGGCCTTGCAGAAGGGGTCTTCAATGGCCTGTCGATGAGGAGTGCTACGAGTCGGGCGTTGCCCAGTTCTTCTGCCCCATGGATGAGGCCGAGACGCAGCGAGACGCTGTGACGTGCCGAGCGCAGCTTTGATGAGCGCACCCCGGCACCCCGGCAGCCCTGTTCTGTGGGAGGACATCACCCTGATCCCCATGTCGCCGAACCTGCTGTGCAAGGCGCGCGCAGAGAGACGCCTGCCCTGTAGCCTTCTCTTCTCATCGCAAGGTACAGTAACACAAGCTGCAGTAGAATTCTTTGCTATGAGTCAGAAGATGATGGAGAGTCCTCCCTCTTTTGTGGGTGCGGAGGTCTGCAGCATCGAGGCCTTCGAGGACCAGGACCCCCGGGCCGCGGTGCTCACGGGCCGCCTCCACTTCGGCCCCAACCAGCGAGGCGAGCAGAGCACGCAGAGTCACAACCTCTCTGGCCTCTGCAGCTGTCAGGCGGGGAGGCCGACGAGAGCTTGCTCTGGGGCTACCGCCTCACATTTGTGGATGCCTGCAGAGGGCTTAGCGAGAGAAAAGAGAAGGGTCTCAAGCGAGTTTTTTAGATACACGATCCGCAGTTGTCGAGCTCCCTCGGCCTCTAGGTGGGGCGGAGCTAGCGGAGTTCGGCAAGGCCTTCGGATTGTTCTGTTATCGGGGCAAGCCGTGCGTCTCGACTTCGGCCCTTTGCGCAGGTTCCGAAGCGCAGCTATCCCCCGGCTGTCTGCTGTGACCCCTGGCGATACAGAGCCTCGGCTTCCGACAGACTCCTTCGTGCAGACCGCAGTCGGATGCAGACCGTCACCTAGATTCTCTTACAATCTGCCCTTCTCCTAGGCTTCGATCTGGAGTCCGTGGCTGTCGATGCCTCAGCCCGTCTCAAACGTGGTCTCAACATGTCTCAACGGTCCCATTATATGGGTCCAAAAGACCGATTCAGAACGTTTTGCTGAGGTTCCCGCGGGGGCGACGGCCATTCAGATCAGCCCTTACAAGGAGTGGACTTGGCATGGGGCCTGGGGTTCCGTGAGGCGAAGGCTCGTTTAAAGGTTTTAAGTGCCCCCTGACAGGAGAACTGGCACTTGCTGGGAGGGGCACTGGGACCAAGTTTCCCGCGACCAGTCTCCAGACGTCTCGGATTTCTTCTCACGTGAAATCTCGTTGTGTCGCTTTGAGGCCTCGGTCGGCTTTGTTGACCTCCACGTCTCCACGTCTACCACCATGAGTCAGACGACGCTGCGTGCTCACCCGTTTCATCTCATATCGCCTGTTCCCTTCGGTCTAGGACAGTAGCCGCAGCCGAAAGACTTGAAGAGACTGCCGGTACTGCCGGTTCCTCGAGGTCATTGACCAACACCACCGCAAGCACGACGACAGCGGCTGAGACTGTCGTGCAGCGCGCCGTCGTTCTGAAGCTCTCAAGCTGACGCTTCTATGCCGAGGACCACCAGCAACAGCACTGTGAGCGCCACAACGACCACCTCGTCCCTCTCGAGCACCAGCTTCACCAGCACGAGGCCGTCTCCGCTAACGGATCCATTTGTCATCTGCCCATTGTTCAGTCTCTCCCTTCCCTCTCAGTCCCTCTCTTTCTCCCCTTTCTTTCGCGCGTACCATAATATGGTATCAGGCTTCGTGTATGGAACCCCCCAACCCAGAACCGTCCTCCTTTGATTTTGCTCGTTCATCGCTTGTCCCTTCACTTTCCACGGTATCCAAATTCCATGCACTAGGGATGTAGCCTCAGTCATGCACAAAAATATCGGGAGCCCCAAAAAAGCCACAAGAACAAAGCAACCAATCCAATTCACAAAAATCCAAAGAATCCAAAAACTCCGGGATCATGTCCCCAGTTCCCAAAAATCCCAAAATTCCAAAAAAACCCGAAGTTCCAAAAACTCCACAACCTCCAGCAAATTCAACGAATCCACAACTTCGAAAAAAACCTAGGCCTGTGGGTCCAGGGTACGGGACAGGTACAGGACATACGCCTATGGGTCCAGGGCACGGGCCAGGCACATGGGTACAAGACACGGAATTTTTGGAATTTTGGGAACTGAGTTTTGGAATTTTGGGATTTTTTGGAATTTGTGGAGTTTGGCACATGTCCCGGAGTTTTTGGAATGTTTGGATTTTTTGAAGTTATTCTAGAGAGTAAGCTCATGAAAGGATGCCCAAGAATGTCCTGTATTCGAGACTTTGATTTGGAACTCCTGGTCTCATGGGGGTCGTGGCCCCGTCTTTTTTGGAGTTTTTGAAGCTGGTACATTGTCCCAGGATGCTTGGACATTTTCGACTTTTAGACGTGGCACATAGTCGCAACATTTTGCTGTTTTTTTTGCGTTTTACGTTAAGGTCATATGGTACAAGATTATTCTTGAAAAAAGGGTGTTCTTTTGTGAGAGGCTCTCAAAATTGGGGGCTCTTCAGTTGAAACATGTAAGGGGGTGAGGATGAGGGTCTTCTGGAGCATCAGTGGAAGCAAAGCAAAGAGAGGCTCGTCCAGTCGTGGAGGTGCATATGTATCTGTGTTCAAGGGGCTCTCTTTCTCAAGACAAGAATGAAGTGAACAGTGGATTGTTTGTGTTATTTGGCGTATCATAAACGAGTTTCTCGCACGTCGTATCTTGGTTTTTGCAGTTTATGAGAGTCTCTCGAATAAGGTTCTTCTCGAATAGAGGATATTTATCCTGAGCATTCTCTAGAATGGGCCCTTGGAGGAAGTGAAGCGGATGGTCTTCTGCACTACTATGAACAGAAGCAAAGCAAAGAGGTTTCGTGATTTTTTTCTTTCGAGCAGGGCTTTTGTTCAACAAGACTGGAGCAGAAGATGGTAGAGAAACGAGCAAAGCTAATAGAGGCTCGTTCATCCATGGTTGCGAAATTCACTAATACACTTTCTTTAAGGGGGCTCTCTGTTGCAGAGAAGAAGAAAGCATAAACATGAGGTATAACATGCACTAAAAGCTGTCGTACTGTGTGCTAGTTTTCACGGAATTGTCCTGTTGTCCTGCGATTTAGCAATGAAACATAGCAGAAGCTGTCGCATTCCTTATCAAAGTGTCTCCGCAAAAATAGGTCAAAACAGCAACCAACGTGAATAATGAAGCCGAATCTTTCGTGAACTGGCCGTTAAAATGTCTCTGGAACATAAGTGGGAGGGGCTACAAAGGATGGAGGTGAGAATGAGGTTTTTTTTGCTTTGGCATCAAGGGTACTGAGGGGAATGAATGTCTCCCTGGCAGTGAAGTTTTCTTCTAAAGGTACTGAGGGGCCTCAGGGTCTTCTCCAGTCTTTTCCAGCCTTCTAAGGCTGCTGAGGGGTGCTGCGGGGCACTGCGCAGCTGGTAGCTGTCTTTTATTGGTTTCATTAAGAACTAGGCAAAGTGGAAACCAAAACTGTGGGGACGAAACTAATGTGCTCTTCGGGGTTGGTTCCGCGGGGGGTATTTGTATATATGTGTATGTGCATATAACATTCTTCTGCATCTTCCTACAGGTCTACGACGAGCCTGACCACGCTGTCCAGCACCAGTATCTCCACCGTCACCGCCTTTACGGTGCCTGGGCTATAGGACTCCGAAACTCCGCTGCCCCACCTCTTTCCCTCTCCCCGTCAGACTTCTCGAGGTCTTTCTAGTCTTTGCTATGACATTACACTCAAGTATGTAGTCATCCTGCGTCATCCTGTGCCATGATTTGTCCTTTCTAATGCTCTGAGACCACGATGACCGGAACCCTCACGGCTAGCGGCGCGCGCTGGCCGGCCGCCGCCCGAGCAAACATGCAGAGCTATGCACAGCCATGCAGAGCCATGCGCAGCTATGCAGATCTCCAGCTTTATTTGCCGGCCAAGGACTTCCGGATCGTGTGGGCCCTCCTGGTCGTGCTGCTCTGAGCGCACTGAAATGCATGGAATTCCCCCTTCCGTTAACGACCTCTTGGGCTCTCAGTATGCCTCTGTGCCGTTGTGTGCCCAGTTTCACCTTCGCCCCGCGAAGAGCACTAGGAGCACGTAAAGCGTGCAGAGCTGGCAGACGAGCGAAGAAGTGTGACCACTTGTTTTGTGCACCAGATGCAGCAGACGGGTAGGAGAGCCGATCTCGGCATTAGGCGTCAGAGGATTCTGTGGCTTTCGCAGTCCTTTCTCCTGCACTCCCCCTCGCCTCCTCAATTAACGAAAACCATTCCTAGGCCTGAGCCTTCCTGCGCAGACGTGTGTTGCGTTCCAGAACACAGGGGGATGTGAAGCAGGGTCTACATTACTAGCAATCGTCTGCCGTGTTTTCGCACATCCACGCGATCGCAATGGCACGCAAGAACCATAAGGGGAAGCAGACGGTCGCCCCTTCGTGCTGGTATGCATTACAGAGAGTGCGTTGAATTTCGTCTGCCTTTTCACCACCATTACCATGACATTGCTGCGCAGGTCCGAGCTGGACCAATAAAAGTGAAGCGTGGAGGCCGCCATCAAATCTATAGTTCAAGTCTATAGTTCCATTCTGTTCCATTCTTTCCAAGTTCGCTTGTGCAGGCGACGGGCCCAGCGGCTTCCAGAACCATGGCGGGCCTGGCCGGTTTGCAGCACGCCAGTTGTCTGTGTGGATGACACGGAGCGAAAGCAATGGCTGCAATAAGTAGCGACGATGTCGATGCATTTGTCAAGTTCCAGGCAATTCACGCTATGTGAACAGCGTCTTGTGCAGAGCTCAGGACCTCCAAAGACCCAAAAGCCTAAACCGTTGTGAGAATCACCCCATTTTAATTTTACATTCTGCATAGCACCGAATCCTTGTGGCCCTGCTCGTGGATCGTACCCTTAGGACCCATTCCATAGGACCCTGACTTTGTTTCCTTACTCAACTCCCCTAAATAGGGTGAGTTTTGTCTTGTTTACAGATGTCCTTGACGCCAGAGGCTGCGTACTGGACCGGACAAACCCAATCTCAAAACCGTGAACCCTCGACCCTATTCCCTACCTCAAAGGCAGTGCCTTCGGGTGTCGCAGCCCTTTGCCAGCGGCCTTCCCTCGGCAACAGGCGTGCTCACTACGTGCAGCAACGTGCACCGACATGCAATGATGGCTCCGGTTGTCCATGTGTTGGGCCAGGCCTTGGACCCGTCTTGGCACAGGTCTTCCAGGCCCGCGCTTTCAGCCCAGCTCGTACGTCGATCAGCTCTGACTTTGCCATTCTGTGCAGGGAGCCTCCACAAGTGACTTGCAATGCTGGCCTGTTGCTCCGAGTTTGAGATTCTTCTTGCTTGAACAGTGCGGCCACCTGCGGCCTGCCCATGTTGCGATTGTTGCGAGTGCTGTCGTGCTTCAGGCCCCAAGCGCGTGGTGCTGTCGTGCTTCAGGCACCAAGCGCGTGGGGCTGAAAGTTTTACTCTCACTCTCTTGAGCACACATATTCATCATGACGAAGCTCCTGTCGGTTGAATTCACCCGGGTTACAAAACAACAAAGTGAAATCGTCGAAGCCCGCTTTTTCTTTGAATTCCACTCCCTCAAGTTCGAGTTCCGAGGATAGAAGCAGCCGAAACCCAGCAACACTCGCAATTTCTTTGGCTCCTCTTCGGTAGTTCGTGGGAGTTCTAATTCCCAGCCCTCTTTCTCGAGCTGAGAAGAGGGGTATGGACTTCAGGAAAAATAGATGATGGCGGACGTCGGCGTTTTCCAGCTCCCATGTCTCGCTCGGCTTCCACGATTTCCAACCCCTGGAAACAAGGGTGGCCATCGGAATCCAGCTCAAATGCGCTTTCTTGCGGCCCCACAGGATTGTAATTCAGTGAACGCGATTCTTGTTGTATGTCGGTCTCCTGCATGGCGGGGCATTCCAACCCCCCCCCTTCTCGAGTCGAACACGGGGAGTTGGAAGTCAGCGAAAGAAAACGATCGTTGCTGGGTTTCGATGGTGTCCAGAGCTTGCTTCTCGAACCGAGAAACGGAGGTCGCATCTCAGCGCAAATGTGATTCTTGCTTGGTTTCGGCGTGCTCCAACCCCTTCTCGAGCCGAGGAGTATGTGCCCCAGGCACGTACCAGTCCTCCCCGTATACCCGCAGCACATCTTACCTCTCACCCCGCGCCTGTAACAAATAACAAAACATTTTCCTTCCTTCCCTTCCCCCCATGCACCCATAACAAATCGTCCTCCCCCGCGCTTCTTGCTCTCAACGAATCGCACTCCCCAGCTCCCTCTCAGTACCCGCAACGCATCGTACCACCCCAACACCTCGAAAAACAACGATTTTGGCTGTGTTTCGCTTCACTCTTTATCTTTGATTCATGACGACCAAAGTCAAAACCATCAGCCTGGCGTCGCACATCAGCTCCCCTCATACACCTGCTGCCCTCCACAAGCAGACCAGATAGTGTTGCGATAGAGTCCCATAGAGTCAGAAGCCACAGTGTTCTTTCACCTGACCGTCTTGGCAGGTTGTCTCGACTCACCCTCTGCGATGGAGAGCAGCAGGCCCGCAACGCAATTGGAGAGCGTGCGCGCTTGCGGTATTCAAGGTTCCGCTTGTCAAAAACGTGCTGCAACTTGCTCGGCGTGAACTTGTCCTACCTGGTTGGCAGGACTGCCACGAGCTGCTCTTTGTCCTTCTGGGCTAGAGCCTCGAGTTATGGGAGTTAGCACAAAGAGCTGGCCGCATTGACCGGAGACATGCGCCTGCAAATGCAGGTTCTGTGGAACTCCTGGCGAAAGAGAGTTTCGGCGGGCTGGGGCCACAGTTGGTCTGGCAGGCCTGCCTTTGAGGGTTCTTCCCTCTGCCAGCGGTGCACAGATCTCACTTTATGCGCAGCCGTGTGGGTGTTCGGATAGGTTTGGGCAGAACTACCGCAGGACCCGATGTGAATGTGAACCCTACACTCTTTGCCACGCATGCCGTGCGCCCTTTGACCTTGCACCCTAAGACGCTCTTCGCCCCTGTCAGCCGTGCTCGTGCCACGACGAAGCAGCTGTACCGGCTGGTGCCAAGGCCAGTTGCCTGACAGGATGCAGTGTGCTGGTAGCTCCCGACGCACAGAAGGCCGGCGGCGAGCCGTGCGATTTGGCTATGACCGGAGCAGAGGAGACCTGCAGTCAGGACATGCAGGTGGACGAGGCTGGCGGATTTGTTATGGGGTACAACCACATGTCGACACTTGCCATGTGGTGAATGTGACGGGGTTACCCAAAGGCCGCCCGCGCCGCCGACAAAGGACGCGGTGATTGCGAGGAAGCTTCCACGGCCAGCGCAGAGGCTTGGGTACGGATCGCGGGGCCGTGTTTGGCAGGCTGTATTGATGCAGAGTTGGTGTCATGCGCAGGTCTCAGAGGATGTGTGCCCAACCTCGTGCCAAGACGCTGTACCGGCTGGTGCCAAGGCCCGTTGCCTGACAGGATGCAGTGCGCTGGTAGCTCCCGACGCACAGAAGGCCGGCGGCGAGCCGTGCGATTTGGCCATGACCGGAGCAGAGGAGACCTGCAGTCAGGACATGCAGGTGGACGAGGCTGGCGGATTCGTTATGGGGTACAACCACGTGTCGACGCTTGCCATGTGGTGAATGTGACGGGGTTACCCAAAGGCCGCCCGCGTCGCCGACAAAGGACGCGGTGACGCGTGCTTCCCAAGCAATTGTCGAATCAAGTTACTCTTTAGCGCCTCCGAAGCATTTCCCCTGCTCCGTCCTCAGTCGCGTGCGCGTCTCAGATTCTACATGGCTTCGATGAGTAATCAGATCGCATTTTATTTCCCCCGTCCATATGATCGATTTATCTGTTAAAAGGATGTTCACTCAGCCCATCGATCGCATTTGGGTTGGAGCTGCGCGACGCTCCCAGCATGCTCGCCCTCACACCACGGTATACATATCAGGCCTGTGCATGGCCCTGTCTTCGCCCAAGAAATCCCCATCTGACAGGGCCGTGCCCGGGATGGGGAGCAAACAAAGTTATTTGGCGAAATGCCAGCGCCATGTCTATTCAGGTGGCAAAGGCAAAGGCCCTGCGCTACTTCAATGCGATCTGCTACGAGGCGCCCTTCCAGATTCCAGCTGTAATTGATGTTCGCATCCTTGACACTGGTGTTTTTGCAGGTGCAAGTGAGTCGCACATTTGTCCATTTCGGGTGCCCCGTCCAGGCACCTATTGTTGCAAGCACGCGCCCAAACCCCCAGTCCTAGACCGCCACGGATTGTTGTCCAACCATGCGAGGTGCCATTGAGGAGGTGCGTGTCAACCCCATTGCTTTCCGCGCCGGAGCGCGAGCCGCAGTGCTAAACGTTTGGCAAGATGCCGTGTCCTGCAGACAGCCATGGTGTGTTGTAGTGCGCTACCGCGTACGAGCGGTACGCTCGTCATTTGGCTTGGTCTTCGAAGATCTTGTTTTCATGAGGCCAGCTGCGCCATCCATTCTGCCCGTGCCTTGGGAACCAGCAGTGTGTGAACACACAGTCAAGTACAATACAGTTAACAGTAAAGTTTACGCTTGCGCGTTGTGGATTTATTACCTTACAAAGACTAGGTGAATTGCTGCTTGTGAGGTTGATGACAGCTTGGAATGGCGTAGGCTCGCTTAGAAGTTGAGGCCCCAGAAGCTTCGACGCAAGAACGCGAAGAAGGCCTTCAAGGAGTCTTGCACATGTGCTTTGCAATCTATGGTGCTCAGGATCTGGGAGTCTGGGTTTGAGAGGCTCCTTCCCGAGATTTTTCCGGGGCTTGATGACCAGGTTGTCGTGTCGCACTGCACCTCCTCCAGCTCAGGGGTGGGGTGGGCAGGGAGGTGTCATCGCGTCACTTGAAAGTTCAAACATCCGAATGCGGCGTTTGCGTACGCAGGCCTTCCTACACGCAGACTCAGTAAACTATGGCTTCACCTGTCGACCCCCCCCCCCCCCCACAAATGTGGCAAGTGAATCCGCGTTTTCGCATGGGAATCAACTATTTTCGTCGCCTCCTCACCCGTTATCACAGCATAAGCAACCTTGCATCCCAAGCATTCAATATTCAGGACATCCGAAAGAGCCATGTCGCTGACATGCGTCGAGGGATTTTTGAAGCTCTTTGCTTCGGAGGTGTGAAGCTCAGCAAGCTCAGCTAGGTACAGGGTTGAATCAGGCAGCTGGTTTTAGGAACGAAAGTTGCGCAACACCCCATAAACACCCCGCGACAGGATGGAGAAGCTACAAGAAGGGAGCGCAGCTCTGCGGCAGTTGGTGTTAACTTTAGCAGACAAAGAGTCAGGTATACGGTACTATTGTCCTACACACCATGTCTATACTACAATGTATACATATATGTTATATGCACCACGCTTTTCGCAAGAAGAATCGTGGCTACCATAGTATGTACTGTATATGATGTTCTCTCCATTCGTTTTGTATGTGACATGTTGTGTTACAGAGCATTGACAGCAGCAATTGCAACAGTAGCGGCAACCAAGATGACCTCACCAGCCACCGCCACGGCCGCCAACACCAGAACCGCAACAAAGACAGCAACAACGACGATGACCTGCAACATCTACAGCAACAGAAGCAACAGCGCTCACCGGAGGTTGTCAAGTCTTTTTCCGCTGCAGACTAGCTTCCAGCACCCTTATCTTACAGTGATTCAGACAGATAAAGCTATGGACATGCTGACTGCGCTTGCACTGCCGACAACGTATGCACATACCATCAACCGCCGGCTCATGAGAAGCATGTATAGCCAAGAGCCTCCACCCAAGGGAGCAAGGCATGCGTGTGACCTGCATCAACCTCGCCTCCAGCTGGCCTTCAAGCGAAGGGCCTTACAGCCCCTCGTGTGCAGAGCTGAAGCAAATGCGAAGTGAACGTTTGGCAGCAGCAAGCCGGACAACCTCGGCCTTGGCGGCACTTCTTTGGGGCCCTTCATCCTTGCCCTGCACAGTGGAGTGCCAGAAGGTATACCGCTTTGTCAGTTCACTTTGGATCTGCAACATGCAAGTTCCTAGAAATCTCCAACCGCCTTATGTGTAACCACGAGGTAGGGCTCGAAGCCGTCTGAGGCGCTTCACACAGCCAAGCATATCAGCGCACATCAGCATGGGACCCTCAGTGAAAGCCAGAAGGACTTTCATCGTATAAGCCTTGGCAAGAGGTGCAGGTTGCTTGGATCCAAGAAGTGGGGGGCCCGAACCACGTTGCGCAGCAACAACTTAACTCGCAGCTGATGCGACCAACTTGTACGGTGCCAAATCAAGTCCTCTCGCATTCAAGCAACAGAGGTCAGCCACATACCTGTCCCTTGCCAATCGCATAGGGCCAAACCATGATTCTCATTCACATTGGTTTTTGCTCAGAGGCACTTTGTTTCCCTTTGCAACTTTGCCGTGCAATATCCCCAAACCCGAGGCCCAATCAAGGGACAAGTTCTGACCGTCTGACCATTCTCACTAGTTCAAGGGCGCCTTGCAGTGCTTTGCACGTGAAAATGAGGGTAGATGGTAGATGATACTCCTGAGCTTCTGCTTGATGAGTGAACGGCGACTCAGTGTGAGCGGAGTTCGGACCTTTTAAGGGGGAGCTGGCGGAAACGACGGAAACCACTCAAAACCTTTCAATTAGAGAGCCAACAGAGCCAACAGAGGCCTGCTCTTTTGTTTTGTTGAGAGCTTTCACGTTGGCACAGAATGCAGAATGCTCTCAACTCAGAAGCTCGGAGTTTTCTCAACTCTGCAACATTTTCTCAACTTCAAAGAAGCAAAAAGAAGCGGTTGTTTTGTCAGTTCTGTCCAACTGTCCCAACTTGCGCACGAAAAAGCCGGATCATGCCACGAAAAGCTCACAAGACCAAGCCCAACCCCCTAGATCTTTCTGAGAGGGCATTCAATTTCAAGTACTCTTAAAGGACCGCTACCAGTAGTGCGTAAGCCCAGGGCGTGCGAGGCCAGCAATAATGCGGGCAGCCTGAATCCGCCAAGCTTTGCCAACAAGCTCAATGAACTGCTCCTTCACGCGGGCCAACGTTCGAATTTTTATGCGGCAACCTGTTGATACATCCCAGCCCATGGATCCGACTCCGAGCTCATACGCAGACGATGATAGACTGTGTGCCAACATCCAAGCTGCTTGTGGAAAGAGCCACGTTTAGCAAGCTTCGTGCGATACCACTAGCCCCATGTGGCAGTCAAATCTCACCGTCGTTGCCAAACCCTACAGGACTAAGTTGTAGGTGCGCGTTGGGTTCCGGATGTCTCTTGCTGGAAGAACGGCACGTGAACGATTGGGGGGGGGGGGGGGGCAGTACTTCTTCTTGCATTTCCGAAGGGGGCCAGCAATCTCGACACTAAAGCATTCTCTGAAGAGAAATGTGGTACTGTCCTGTATGATCCTTCAACTTTTCGATTTAATCGCTAGGAATTACCCTAAGAAATGTTGAACAAATCCTTCTTGTGCGCCAAGGCGGGTCGTCAGCAAGCTTTTTCCCAAGGCCAGCACTGGCTTGGGTTCTTGTCATTCTCTTCGGCATGCCAGGGCTGGAACTACTGTAGAGTTTAGGAAGGGGAAGACAGCGAATTGTAAATCAGGATTAGGGCTTCGGGGATAAACTAGAACAGGAATTCATGCAAATTCTTGTTCGTCTACGGGTGATGGGAAATGGTCCATTCATCTAGAGTTGGTGCTGCTAGTAGGTGGTGCTCCATTCAGAATTACAATTGTCTTTAAACCAAGCTTGGCCAACGCTCGACCCTAAACATTTTGTCGTGCCACAGAAGTTCTGGGAACGAGGAAGAGCTCTGCTTTGGAGAACTCTCATCAGCATCAGTGCCAAACCCTAAACCTAACAAAAACCTAACAAATTATGCCGGCGTAGACCCCAAACAGTGAGGAGGGCCAGAAAAGGCCAAAGAAGTCCAGAAGAGCACCGACACTCCCGGGGACAAAAAGTACAAAAGTTCGTGAGGGGCCGAATTCCCCACTGGGAGATTCGGCTTTGCACGCGTGTGGAACTTGGGGGCCAAAAGACCCAGCTGATGTCATGATGCTCAACCCCAAAATCGCTACCCCATAATAATAACCCCCCGGCACCCAGCCGCAGGGTTAACCCTAAACCCTAAACCCCCCCTAAACCCTGTGTTTTTATTGATCCTGCCCCCAGGTGGTCTCACCGCGCGCGCCGTCGCGGTCGGCAACCTAATCAAGTGGCCCGGCCTGAAGAGGCCATGAGAGGCCGGAGTTCACGCGAAACCACAGCGCGAGCATCGAAATGCAACGGAATTCGCGCGACACCACAGTGGGAGCATCGAAACGCAACGGAATTCGCGCGAAACCACAGCGGGAGAATCGAAACCAAGGCGTAGTGGCCCCCCCAGAAGAGGCCACGAGAGGCCGGAATTCGCGCGGCAACGGAATTCGGGCAAAACCGCGGCAGCGTCGAAATGCACGGAATTCGCGCGAAACCACAGCGGGAGCGTCGAAACCAAGGGCCCGTCTCACCGCGCGCGCCGTTGCGGTCGGCAACCTATAGTGGCCCCCCCAGAAGAGGCCTGAAGAGGCCACGAGAGGCCGGAGTTCGCGCGAAACTACAGGGGGAGCATCGAAATGCAACGGAATTCGCGCGAAACCACAGCGGAGCATCGAAACGCAACGGAATTCGCGCGAAACCACAGCGGGAGCGTCGAAACCAAGGCCCCGTCCCACCGCCGCGCGCACCGTTGCGCTCAGCAGCCAATTCCTTTACTCTGACCCCATTGTGCAAGCGCTGTTTGGGGAAAAACTATAAGTTCTACAAACCATGAACCAATTGGCTGCAAAGTCAGCTCGAGGAGCGTCAGAATGGCTCCAGGCGGCCGGGATGGGGACGTTGGGCTAAAGCTGTGCATCGTGTTACTATAGGGCTTTTAGCAGTTTAGTCCTACCTTCTGTGAAGCGTTTCCACGCATCTTTGCGGCCTTGTTTCCCTTCCCGGATTCTGGGCAATCGGTTCTTAAAGTGCTCCAAAACTCTTACATGGCACCAGGAGAGCTTGTGTCTTAAGAGGACCTCGCCAGGCCATGGCCCCAAAATATGTCGCTGGGTCACACCCGGGCAACTTGGCTTTCTACCAGTTTTGATCTAGGGTGTATTGAGAAGGCGCGCTTCTGCAATACGATATGCCGTCCAAAGACAGCCCAGAGTTGGTGATGAGTGGGCCCTGTAGGCGAAAATCGTGTGTGAGGTTGTTTTTTGGGTGGTTGAATGCAGCGTCAGCCAGGCCGACGTCTTGATAGCCCGGTTTTGGAACAGGAAACCAAAGCCTTAGATGGGTTTAGGCGGTTTAGGGCGTATAACGTTTAGTGTTTACAGTGCACTGGAGCGTTTCAGGGTTGTTAGCCGCTTGCTGTGAGCATCTTGGTGGTTGAGTATTTCCGGAGTAGGGTATCCTCGTAGACCCCCAAACAACAGCTTTTTTCAGGATCCCCGACCCCCAGAAAGGGGCCCGCAATTTTAAGAATTTTCGGGTTTCGGATCTACAAACCAGCTTGAACCTTGAGTCCTACACGCGGCTTTTGCCGCGGCTAGGAGGGTCACTCCCCAATGCAACCTTGAGAGGCGTGCCAGCTCCGGCAAGCGTAAGCTGCAGGCCAGCCTATCACATCCCTCGCGATCGACGGCGTTGGGCCGAAAGAAGCGTGTGGGTTAGGTCCGGTTAGTTGGCTTAGGGAGTTTGAGCGGTTGTGTTATGCACATTGTCACCCACCCGCGCGCGCGCGCACACAGCCCCCATGACGTTAGAGATGTTCATTGATGTTCATTTCCTTGATCCATGCGCACGATCACTCCAACCGAAAGGAAGCTTGGTCTCTTGTAGGATTGTTGGAACATTGAAGCTTCAGCAGCTGGCGATTCCTTTCTTAGGGTCTAAAGTTTCGAGTTCAATAATCTCACAACGTTGGTCTGCATGGTTCCGAGACGTGCCGAGTCAGTGCCAGTTACCAGTAGCAACTGTTAGCGTGCCCATTAAGTCACACACAGCTTGACAGAAAGAAATTCTTGCAGAGATATTGTGTTTCAAGAAAAGGGTATTTTCGGTCTTCGACAAAGAAAAGTAGGTCCTGAGAACAGCTACGTCTTTATCCGGTTCCCACTGCCTACGGCACGCAGGATTGTCAGCCTTGGTTTTCGAAGCGAAGTGCTGTTGGCTGACATGCAGATGGGGCCCCACTTCACTGGAAGACAAAGTTGTAAGCTTGATTGCTTGCATGTCGATGCATTCGCTCGCAGCGGTGACAGACACCATAGTTTGACATTGAAAATCACGGCACCATGTTGAGGAGGTTGTGCAACTTTTGCCGGAGCATGCCGTGAAGACTCTCCTGGTTGATTGATGCTGCCAGATCACAACAAAGATTTGCCTGTTTGACTATCCCCTCGATTCCTCATGAATTGCGGGTCGCTGCCAGTCGTCGATTTCAAGCCTTGGACGCGTTCACACTTGGGCAACCTCAACTAGGAGGATTAAGGTCCCAATTTGCATGAGGGAAATATTCAGTTGCTACTACCGATGTCCATATGTGGAGCATGGCTCATATGACTCATGGCTGTGAACCCGGAGGCCAACGTGGACAGGCAAGCTGGTCACCTCAGCCCTGATTCCACCAGGAGGCACTCCTCAAATCCGTTCCGCGGTTCCGTAGCTGCCGTAGCCATCGGAGATCACCGTAGCCATGTATGTGATGGGAGGTCGCAACGACGCTAGTTTTGGCGAATCCCGTGCGCAGTACTTCGCTAAGGGTTCCAACCCTGAACAAAAGCACTAAACCCTATGCTGCAAAAGTTCATGCATCAAGCGATGCATCAGGCCGATGATGAGGATGAGCCAGCTTCCAGACCGGGCGCCGTCGACCCCGTCCAAAATGCAAGCGTGGCAGGGTCTCCATCTGTGATGTCGTAACTGTAACAGGCGGAGCCGCCGCAAAATAGGACACGCAGATCCCATGCGCTTCATTGCAATATTGATACTCAGTCCTCTCTCTTTATTCTTATTGCGAAGAGAACAGCGTGAACACAGTCAATAATCTAGACCAAGCGCATGATCTTCATGTGTGCACGTGTGAACGCAGCGAACCAAACCTTGGATATCGAGTCACGAGTGAACAAGAAGCGCTCTCTTCTCTAGAATCTGACCTGAATACGGTTTCTTCACGGGTAGTTCCAGAAGAGAAATGTATGCAAGAAACTAGAAGGGCCTACTGTCAAAATCTAACCATGGCAGCGCGAAGCTCGCCTAAACCCCTATCCCCCCGTGGCCCCTGCGGCTGCGTGAAGCTGGCCTCAGACCCTTTGCCAAATGCAAATGGTGACTGAAACCAACACGGTGACTGTCACACCGACTGGCTGGGCAATGCCGCGGATGTGCGGAGGTGGCTAAGAGGGCAGCGGGTGCTGGCACTTCCAATCCCGGCCCCGAACGCCCTGAACTCAGGAAGGCGCCCCAGCCGTCTTTACACTGGTTCGCGGAGTGCGATCTCCAGCCAGAACACCCTGAACTCGGGCAGGGGGCTGTGGATGATGCAATCTGGGTCGCGTGGGGCGAACTCCAGTCAGTGTAGATTGCAGTTTTAATGTGTTTGCAAAGAACACGCAATGCAGCCAGAAGAGGTGATGCTCTCGACTATAGCGTGGCTCTTAGCTACAGGGGATGACCATGTGGAAAGTTTGAGGGCAGGTCTGTCGGGTAGACCTACGGCGCACCGATTTCAATGACTTCCAGTCGCGGCACTATGGTTCGGAAGAGGATTTAACGCTCTACACAGACCGCAGAAGCGCGTGAAAAGTGAGGCTGTTAACCAGTTAAAGTAGGGAAAGCGAAGGCTACAGAAGCACTCTTTTTACTTGGGCCAAAGAAGTGCGATGTCGTCCTCGCGCTGGGCTGTCCCAAACTGTAGTTTCACTCGACTTTCTTTTACTAGCATTGACTATAAACAGCCAAGTAACGCTATAATTTGGAGATGTGATGTTGTAGAATTTCATGTTGCATGTGTTTGTAAGAGTTTATATGAATTTGGATTTGGACATGAAATGGAAACATTATGACAAATGTTCTATGTTTTTTGTATGTGTTTTTCATGAGTGATATTTGTAATATATGTATATGTAATGCATACCACAGTATATTAAACATGCTGTGTTATATAGTTGTCAGACTTATCTTGGTTCTTGTGTTGTTTCTTGTGTAGGTGCTGTGTTGGTTCTTGTGTTGGTGTTTGTTTTGGTTCTTGTGTTGATTCTTGTGTTGGTTGTGTTGGTGCTTGTGTTGGTTTTTATGATGGTTCTTGTGCTGGTGCTTGTGCAACTCATGCAAACAAAGTACCATCAATTTTGTTTAATTAATGTGGTCCACTTGTGATCATCTACTGTTTGTTATCATAATTTGATTATAATTGCTCACCCTCTGGCCCTCACCACTACACAAACGAATCACTGTATACATAAAACACCAGCAAAACCAACACATGTTTAATGACTGGTCAAAATTTATTGTTATGGAGGACGGGCAAACAAGAGCTTCAAGCAAGACTCATGCTACTTATGTTTGTGCATGGGCTTTGGAATTCGATGTGCAGTGTGGCAGACCCAAAGGCCAGGATGAAGGATGTGTAATGTGGATGACATGCTGATGAAAAGCCTTGATTTGACATGGGAGAAGAAGAAATGTAAACGATTTTCGGGGGGGTTTTCGGGGGGGGGGGGTTCGCGAGAAACTGCCAGGCCAGTTTCAGCATGGGGGGAAGGGTTGGGTTAGGGGGAAGGAGGCCCGATCCGGGTCTGCTTGCTTCAGACGTTTTCGGCAGAAGCCGAGGCGATTTTTTCAGCGCATCTGTGCCAACCATCCTTCTGAAGGTCCTTCTGAAGGCATGAATTTTCTGTATCCGAACAGTGGGCAGCGACTAACCGTGTGGACAGAATTCGGGAGACAGTCTGTTCATGGCACAGGAGGCTCGAACGACTGATTGCGTGCCTTCTTGAGGCCCATTGTCAGATTAGGTCGTAGTTGATACAGTGATACAGCGATACAGATGGCAACTGGGAGAACGGCACACCTCCAAAGATGTAGGGAGGACGCTCATGGTTTTTAGCATTGTAAATGCTCGTAGGTGTTGGACGTTCTCCAAAGTGCCATCCATCGCCGCAGCAATGTCGCAATGTTTTGCCGATGGCCTGTCCGGAGCTTGCACCCCTTGCAGCCCTTGGAGCCGCTGTGCCGGAGATGGTTCTCCGGACTCACGCAGCTCCCACCGCGTTGGCGCGCCAAGCCTTCCAAGAAGGAGCTGACGCTGTTGATCAATCAGACATCGACTTCCCGGGACATTCTGAAGATCATCAAGACCCACAAAGAGAGACTCGATGCGATTCATGCCATCACGTGTCTTTGGAAAGTTGGCAAGCTCAAGGGGGCAAATCCAGAGGTGCCGGATGTGTGCGCTGTTGTTGCGCTGGTGGACACCCACCTGAATCAAGGTGATGTTGCCCCGCGCGGTCTCAGCAACATCCTTGTAGCCCTGACCTACATCAACGACGCCTTGCAGAATGCTCCGCGGCGTGAACGCAGCCAGGGGCCCATCTTCAAGCTCGCAAGGCGAGCCGCGGCGCTCCTCCGCCATCAGGCAACGGGCGGCCAAAGCGGTTCAGATCCAACACGAGTGACAGGACCAATGTCATAGCAGCTTCAAGGGGTTCACCGCAAGGCATTTTATTTGGTTAATTACGAAGTGCCTTCGTGCAGATCCCTTCAGGCCGCAGAGGCCAACGCGCACGACGTCGCCAACGCCGCCTGGGCGGCAGCACGGCTTTGGGCGCAAGACAAGGAGAGGCAGACTCTGGAGTCCTGTTGCCACCGATCTGCCCACACCAGGTCCGTTTTGCGGAAACATGCAGAAACGCTTTGTCGAATGCTTCTGCGGAACAGGACCGCCGCCGGCCTCCCGGAGCCTCGGGGGGCGGATCTCGGCCAGGGCCTGGGACGCAGAGCCTCCAGGGCTCCGCCTCCGGCGCCGCTTCAACCGCCGCTGCAAGCGGCGCTTCCAGCGCCTCAGGCCGTGGGCTTCTGCTGCTGCTGCGGCAACTGGCTCCGGTGGCCCAGCTCCGCCTGGAGGCGCTCCCACTCACGTGAAAAGCGACGTGAGAGCGAATCGGACGGTTGAGCTCTGTTGAGCTGTGAGCTGCGCCATTGGAGGGGAGTGAGAGAGAGTGAAAATATGAAAGCCCAGGGCATACATGATCAGGCCAAAAGTGATTATGCTTTGCAAGCAGCTCGTTCAGGCCTTCAGCGCGCAGGCGTGGCCACGGGAAAGGAAAGGCGAAACGCGGGGTGCGGGGTATGCTCGAGAGTCCAGAGGGAGGACCTGCAGAGAATGTCCAAGAATGTGGGGAACGCACAACAGTCGCTGCACGAAGTTTGCAGCTCCAGGGCCTGGCGAACCTGGCCTGGGCCTATGCCTCGGCTGCGGAGCCACTGACCAGCCGGAGCTCCCATCGCAGTGCTGCCGGGGCACCCAGCTCAAGGCGTTCAAGGCCTAATGACTTTAACTGATTCCTTTTACGACAAGTATAGGCTTCGACTCTCGGGCTTGTAGAAACTCGTAGGGGCTCTTAGACGCCGCAGGAGGAGCGGGCCTTTCGAGGAAAGATGGAGGCGCTCTTCCACGCAGTGCGGCGCCCGGGGCGAACCCCCCAAGAAGCGGAGGGTTTGGGAGGGTCGAGGGTGGGTGCTCGCAGCTTCCATTTTGTGTGGTGGTACGATAGTGGTGCGGTGAGAGAACAACCCTTGGTGACCCGTGTTCCCTCGTGTTCCCTTGCTCCCCACCACGCAGAGTCACATTTCATTCCAAAGGTTGCCGAGACCGCACGACCTAAACTGGAGACCTTCAAGGTCCAAGAGATGTGTGGCACTCGCATGTCTTTGTGGCTGAAGCGGAGGCTTTGCACGCTCTGTATGCACAGGGTCGGCCGATACGTTGCGAAGGTCGAACCTGGCCTGGGCGTTCGCAAAGACCGGCATTGTACCGGGCCGAGCTGTAACGAGTCTGTTTCTCTGGGATGCAACTCCTCCTGCGATAAAAAACGAGAATAGTTCAACTTATGACATATTAGTACAATACTAGAACATTGGAATTGGTGTCCTCTCTCTTCGGTGCTTCTCTCAAGGAGGCACCGGAGCTTTTCGTCGCACTGGCAGCCGCCGCCGAGCAAAGGCTGCGCGCCCAATTGGGTCCTTCAACACTAGTAGAATACAATGATAGTATAGCTCGTACCTCCAGTGCCCTTTACCCTCGCCGTTTTGTCCCTCCTGTTCTTAAGTTTGTTGAGTTGTCCCGAGGCTCGAGGAGTTCACGCCCCAGAACCTGCTGCCTGGCTGCACTGTTAATAAGACGCCATTTGGTTCCGGAGACTTGCAAAGCTGCTAAACGGTGGCATCCTCACACGGAGCAGGTGTTGTCCGACTGTTCTTCGTCGCTTTTGGGGGGTTGCTAGACCCTAAACCCGCTAAACCGTATACGGACTAAGCCCGAAAACTGATCTACCCAAGAATGGCTCTAAAGCTACAACCTGGAGATCCGAATCAAAAATCGAAACCCCGAAGCATTCAAAACCCGAAACATCCCGAAACGCTGCCGCGGCATCCAAACCCTAGACCTAAAGAGGGGCGTGGTAGCCGGAAGCCCTGAAAGAAGATGTCGTGTGATAATTGCCCTAAACTCCCTGCAATTTACAAAGCCAGCAAGAGATGTGTGCGGAGCCCTCAACCCTCAAGCCTCCGAAGCTGGACAGTCACGGTTACAGGGTACTGCTTTGATGTCACGGGCGTGAAGAGTCACCTGGATGGGCTAGATCATAGCACGCCGTGCTCTGAGGAAAATTTGACGGCGTAGGTGAAACCCCTTCCGAGTTGGAGCTAGGGGCCCGCAGACACACACGCTCTTCCCTCGCACCTCCCGAGTGTATAGTCTATACGTGTACTCGTATATGTATTTTTCTTTGTATGTATGTATGTATGTATGTATGTATGTATGTATGTATGTATGTGAGCGACCGCATTTATTACGTTGCAGGAGGTTTCTTGTGGCGGAGATAATAACCTTATGTCATGCCTGAAACCTCGGAAAGCGATAGGCCCCCCCCAAAAGCGATACCCTGAATCTTGAACCTAGAAGTCGTTCTGCAACAATGCGAGGCTGGGTGTTATTCCAGAGCGATACTCAAAGCGATAACCCTACGATACCCATTTGGCCACCCGAAGAGCTGGGCAAAGGCCCTGGCCCAGGTTGAGGGTTCGAGGTTTAGGATATGGATTTGTTTATAGGTCCTGAAGAAAGGAACGGGTTTAGGAATTCAAGAGTTTTCACGGTAGGGTTGCAGGTTTCGGGTCTCATATGCAGTAAAGCGATAGGTTTTCGTAGCAACATTGAGTTAAAGTCCCATAAAGCGATAGGGCCCCCCCCAAAAGCGATACCCCATGATTTTTTAATTAGCATTTACATAAGATTTTTTGCGGCTGCTCATGTATGTATGTATGTATGATGTATGTGGGTTGTTTTGACATACTGATCTTGGATGTGTGCAGTGTGCATGTACTGTGTTTTTTCGCGTGTGTGTTTGTATTTGCGTATGTGACTCTCCCTCATGCATGCGTAGACAAGTCTTTGTGTACGTGTTTGGTGTTTGTGTGCACAAATGCGACTGGCATTTCAAAGTATGGCCCGCTCTATCTCGCTCTGAGGTGCAACTTCGCCTGGGCCTTTGCTTCCCTGAGCCGCGCGCTTACGAAGCTTTTGAAGCTCTCGGCTCTGGCCTCTGTCCGCTTCTTGTGAGTCGAGGTGTCCTGAGGTCGGGTGGAACCCGAAAGGCCCCAACAAAAAGCAAAAAACATGCAGCTTGTCTTGCGGCTCCTGATGCTCTTAGGAGAGGTTGAAGAGCAGTCAAATAAGCGGTCTGGCTTTGCTTTGACCCAGAAATCGCCTCTGCCAAGGTGTCTCTGCAAGTCCAGGAGGACTTTTGGATGGGGTGGGCGGCTAAGCAACAGCAACCGTAATTGGGGAACCCAGAAGGGTCCCAGCGAGTTTCTCTCCTCTTCGCTGTTTCATGACTCGAAGGTCGCTGCCGAAGCTGCAAAGCGCGTCTCCGATTTCAACTTGCCACCCTGGCACGACTTGTCTTTTGGATGATCGGATGAGTCATGGAAGATATATGGCCATGTGGGGCACGACGAGCTACGGAGGTTTATGCAGACCTACCACTTATCTCGGCGAATCGTTTGCGGTAATGCTCGTTCAGTGAGCTCGCTTCTTTCAAGCAAATTCGCAGAGATGCTTGTGACATCGAGCGCCATAAGCTGCGTAAACGAAGCAGCGTGTCTTCGTCTATGGTGGATGAGCAGTACAGGTCTTTGCCGCCAAAAGGAAAAGAAACACGGGACTCGGACAACAGAGGAAATGAGGGGGGGGGGGGGGCGGGTGGGGGCTAAAAAAGAACATCTCGCAAAAAAGGCAGGGCCTCTCGAACCTGGTCTGGGCTTCTGCGGTCCTCGGCTCCAAGATCCAGGCGAGCAGAGAGGAAAGTTCAGTCAGCTGGGTGGGGAACTTGGGGAATCCGGGAGCGCGAAGTTTTGAGGGAATTTGGCTCGGTCCGGCCTGGAGGTCTTCGACCTCTTGGCCCGCGAGCTGACCCAGCGCATCGACGCCGGCGAGCTCGGAACATTTTTGAAGGGCTCACATTCAGGAGGAAGTGGGGGGAAGTTGGGGGGGGGGGGGCCTGCTGAATCCCGAGTGGGCTGAAGATTTTAACAGGGGTCCCCGGTCCCCAGTATTCAATTCAGTCTCTGAGGCCGCAGACACGAACTCCTTGAGCGAAGCAGCTGTCACCGACATCGTCAGGACGCTGAGAGAAGCATCTTACACGCATTCGCTCTAAGTGGATTGCCACCTTGGAAAGCAGAGTCCATGCTTTTGGTGGAAATCGTAGATTCGTGGTTCGTCCTTTGCGTGCAGGTTTTTCGGTGTTTCGCAGGAATACCCTCGGCGTCATATGGGCGCAGCATTTTGCGCACGGTGCCGAAGCGGAGCAGTTGGTGGCGGAGGCCAATGCCAGTGCTCGTCGCAGAGGCTTCCGACGCCAGTTCCATTGGACGCGCAGGTCAAGCCGAAGCTTCGAGAGCTGGGACGTCGGATGGACCAAACAACCCAGGCGCTGAGAGAGAGCACATAGTGAGCACAGAGCAGAGTCCGCAGAAGTCCGCCCCTCTGCAGGGAAGATGCATCCCCGAGTGTCCGGCGGACCGATGGACGAAGGAGCCTTCTCAGTATGTTGAGCTTGTTTGCAGTCTTGCGGAGCTTTAGTTCGTGTGACGCGCGCTGAATCTCACGCGAAGGAGGTCCCCGTGCCCGTCGTGGCCGGCGCCCTGGCCCATGAGTCTCCCGAGCTCTCCTCAGTCCTCCCTCGCTGTGTCCGACCTTCGGGGCGAACCTTGCAGAGGCCCTGCATGAGCGGGATTGCCTGGTGATCCACAAGCCCCCAGGATGGCAGGCGTTCGGAAGGGAGGATTGGGCACGGTTCCGCTTCTCGGCGGCCTTGCGCGGAGGTGGACCAGGACAAGCTCGGCACTGAACCGAAGTTGGGGGAGCCACGCCGGCTGACGAAACTTTGCAGAGTTGGGGGCGCATGTTTTCTTTCACCAGCGCGCATCTTGGTCCCCATTAGCCCAGGAGCTTCGTCCACCAGCTGCTGTCTCCCGAACGCTGGCCAATCCTGGCTGATCCAGTGCCCGCCCGAGGAAGGGCGAGGAAGGGCGAGGAAGGCCCAGAAGCATAATCAACGGTAGCATAATCAACGGTCTCTCAACCTTCCAGCAGATCTCACTGCCGGACACTGATGGGGCCTCAGGAAGCAGGATGCGGCTTCCTGCACCGCCTCGACGCGCCCTGCTCCGGGCTGATCCTCGTCGCAAAGACCTACGAGGCCGTCACTTAAAACCTGCAACGGAGCGTCCGTAGCTCCCTGCAGCCCCCGAGGCCCGGTCTCCTTGGGCTCTTGCCAGGCGTACTACGACCTGCTGTTGCAGATGAACTCGGGACAGGTGGCCGCTGAGCCACCATTAACGGTTCAGACGGCCAGGCAACTGAATGGGGGGGGGGCAGGGGGAGGGGGGGCGACATGGGGAGACCTGGTGTAAGGTCCGTGATTACATCATCCTGTGCCACGGCTGGGTGCTTGCCCCAGTTGCCGAGAGGGAGTCGGCGTTTGATCAACGGTCTTTGCACAGGTCCCCGCTGCAAAAGAGATGATTGCAGCACCACTCTATTGGGCCGGGATCCCGCTGTGCAAGTGGAGTGCACGTGGAAATGCCACAGAAAAATGCATCGTCCTTGGACCAGTTACAACACAACCAGTTATTGAATACTGCAGCAATACTGCATGTTACATGATGTTTGAGATCTGCTTCTCTTCTGGGTTCTCTTTCTTTTGTGTTTCCACAGGCCGAGGGAACGCGGCTACCCAGCGAAGCCCGGCAGCCCATTCTGAGTCTCCGTGCTGTCTCTGCGGCCCACGAGTAGAGCTCTCCAAAGCGCCCCACTTTGCGTGCACACTTCCCTCCTACCAGGTATCAGGAATCCGCGAAGGAATCGCAATGAATCACATCTTAGCCCAGCTCGCCTTGAGAAGCTGTCTCAAGGCTTTTTGGGGCATTGTGAATGCTGCACGAGGTGCGCCACTACGGAAAGCCCTCGGTGACGCAGGCACCCGGTGTGAACAGAGGAGATGAGGAGGTTATTTTATTCTTGCTTGGTCCCAGATGTGCAGCAGCGGGTTCTCGTTGCGGGTCGGCAGCTTGGGGATGTGGCGAGTCGGGGTTGCCCTCGTTTTGCGATCCTTGGTTCGTCTCGGGGTGAGGAAATGAGGCGAATGATCCAGGGGTCCGCAAACGATGACAATGGTGCCTTCCATCGTGCTGTCTCGCGATCGTCTTCGAGCCTCGTGTCTGGCCATGAGTCCTCGCGTCGGCGGAAACCTTGATGGCGGCAACCCTTTGCGAGACTCCGTGTCTTCGGGCTCGTGGCTCAAGGATACCTCCTCATCAGGAAAGAAGGATGACTTGCAACCAACCACACGAGCAACCTAATATGAGCAAATTCTGAGCAATCTCAAATCATATTCAATTTTGAGATCCTTTTCCTGCCTGGTGAGTGCGAAGAGGTGAAGGTCCTCGCCCATGCGCACAGCGGAAGCGGAGCCGGGAACCCAGTGGCCCCACCACCTCTTGTGGGCCCCCCCCCCCCCCTTCAATGGGGCCTCTTTATAAAGTAAGTGCTTAAGTACTTTCTTACCGGCGCCGCGTCCCGGAGCTGACCCTTCTCTCACCCCCTAATCCCCCGACGACCTCTCTTCTGGTAGTGATGTCTCTCTCTGTCTTAATGTTAAATAGGTAATCTTCTGTAGATCGACTGGGCACTGGAGTTTTTTGCCTTCCTACACCCCACTCTCGGGCGAAATCGGCCCTTGCCCTGGGCGCCAAGAGCGAGGGATCCTCGAGTCATCGAGTGACTTCACACCTATCGTCTCTAAGTCGTATTGTGCAGAGTTTGGCGGCAGTTGCCCACAGGGAGTTTCGAGGGAGAAGGGCAGAAAGCCAACGTATGGAGAGAGAGCTCTGCCTTAATGGGTCATTCATGGGGAGTTCGACCTGCGGAACCTGAACTGCACCCTTCTTCTCGTTGCAGCAACAAAGAAGTTAGAAGAATGCGTGCGTTTGTTTGTGCGGAGGCCGAGATGAGCCTTGTTGCTGTGCGCATCTTGACCGGGAGACGTCACCAGCCAGGATCCTGGACATCCTTTATCCCAACAAGTAGGCCCTAGGACATCAAGTCTCCCTGGCTCCATAGCAGCGACATCCTGAGGATTCGGATCCACATGGCGCACGCTGGGCACACGCTCGTTGGCGATGGCAAGTACGGCTCGGAAGAGCAGTTCGCGATAGACAAGGACCACTGAGACTCATGGAACATGAGACACGGGGGAAGGTGGGGCGGTGATGTTTTCGGCCAGGAGTGGTGCCCTCAAACCTTCTTGCACAGCCGGGCGCCCGAGAGTGCTTTTGAAGAGCGAGCTTCTGCAGTTCTTTATACACGACCTGGAAAGCGCTAAAGTTGCTCGCGACCAACGTGGGCGAGGCTGAAGCTGTGGAGACAGCCCCCCAAACCCTTCCTCTTCAGCCCATGTTTTAAGTTTGAACCCCCCCCCTGTGGTGTGGAACATGTTGTGCCCTGAAGCGACAGGCAACCATCAAACAGGATTAAAGGGGGATGGGGGGAGGGAGGGGGGGGTGAATTGAAATCTCACCAATAACATGGGCTGAAGAGGAAGGTCAAGGGTGGAGGGGCGTGTGGGCATGTTCCACGCCACGGGGGCGGCGCTGGGAAAATCGAACCAAAAAACGTAGGGCTCCAGGGCCCGCGACCTAAATATCCCCCCCCCATGATCTACACCCAACGACTTACACTGTCCAAGCCACTGTTTAAGGGGGGAAAGGGGGAGACCGTGTACCGTGGGGGGGGATACAATGGGGGGCGGGGTGGGGTGGACCGAGAACAGGGCACGACCACATTTACATGTAGAAGGTACATGACATGTGTTCATCTCTTCATACACTGCGACATGCTTCTCCCCCCTCCTCAGAAAAGGACACTACTTGGGTTTCGCTATGCTCGACGGGAGCTTCGCCGAGGCCGGGTTTCCATTTGCGAAACCTCATAGGACCCTTGGGGCACCAGGGCGGCACGTCTTCACTCCAAGTGTTTTCGTGATGTACGGCTCGGCTTTCAGCCTTGTTTTGGGGGCCACTGGTGAAAGAATGGTTTAATGGCTGCGAAAAGTGTTCGATGCAGGCGGCAGCGCCACTTCCCCATGACCTTGCGGCTGTTGGGTCCTGAGGTTGAGCTGCTGTTTGCTGGTGCAGTTGTTAGTCAGTGTCATGTCACACACAGCTTGATATACTGAGAAATTGTGATGTGCCCAGACCCCAATTATCAGAACTGGTGCAGTGTTTCCCAGTCCCCACCCCGCCCTCCTGACGTGTGCCCCACCCACCTTCTTCTGTCGTCCCCCTGGTTGGGGTGAGATTTCGGTTTTCCTGCTCAGGGCGAGGGGTTTCGAAGATGTTGTTGGTGTTGCGCAGGGTTGGTGGGTTTGTAAGGGCTTTACGGGTTTTATAGGGACAGGGCTTAGGCTTTGCGTGACGGTTTTGGGTTTGGGGGTACCAGGGGGGGGACTGCCGACACGGCGACGCAGAACTGTATATGCACGCGCAGTATTTTTGCATTGCCATCTTGCGGCCTTGTTGCTGAAGAACACTTTCCGTGAAAATGTGCCTCCCCTGCCATCGTTTAAGTCGCTTGGGATCAGGCCCTGCAACAACTCCGACCACGCGACGCCCGTTCTGCCACGCTCCCATGCCGGCAAGAACCCCGGCAAAGGCAGCAATTTGTGTTTGGTCCGAGGACGCCATGCTGCGTGCATGCGGCCCGAGTGGTGCCAGGCGGAGAGAGTTGCGTGCACAAGCGGTTCGCCAACACACCCACAGCTGTGCCGTGTTGAGCTGAATTGTCTATCTGCTGGGCAGGATACCAAACTGGGAGGAGTGCAAGGCAGGACTCCCAATTTGTAAAGAGAAACTGTCACAATCGACGTGTCTTAACTGGTCCATGTGGTGTTGGATGGAGGTGTTGGGGAGGCCAGCGGCATGAGGTGTCAGTCATCACTGCCTCCTGACTGACAGTTGAGACACCAAGAGTGAGGGACAGCCCTTTGCTTTCTTCCCTGTTCTCCACCTTTCTGTGCAAGGTTCGCAAAAGAGCTTACAAGAACGCCTTCGGAGCCTTCGCGGTGTGGCCAAAAGCAGGCCAGTCCATGACAGAGATCTCAAGTGGAGTCTAACGCCTCAAAAGCCAAGCTCTTGGGACTCCGCTTGCGCAGTGACAGACATCAACGGACTCAGAATGTAGCAGTGCGAGCCACTATAGATTTCTCATGAATTCGACCTGGGCAATGGACCGCTGCACTGCTCAACCACACTTTTTTCGCGCTCTCCTCCACATTGAGGACCGGAGGAGGATCCCTTTCGACACGCATGTAGGCAAATTCAAAAAGCAAGGTGCCCTGGGGCCAAGCATCGCAACTAAAATTGGGCTTTCAGCATGGGCATGCGGAACCCTTCCTCAAAGAAAGTGATATGAACCTTATTCGGCAGTCACTTTTGCTTGGAGCCATTTACAAAGAACCTCTGATTCGAGGTAGGTTTCGACAAACAAAACAGGCAGGTTGTTTGGCCGGGTGACTCACGTGATCTGCGAGCACTCGAGTATTCCCGACGAGAGAGTCTCCGTCTCTGTCTCTGTCTCTGTCTCTGTGTGAGTTTGAGTGAGGCTCTTACAATCTCCTGCAGTTTTTTGGAACTGCAGTCCTCCGGGCCTCCTGGGCCTACAGGCCTACAGGGGCGTTCAACGTTGAGCATGAGTATGGACTGGATGCCATGGGACCGCAAGGACCGCGTCTGTCGACCTGCCTGCACGGTCGTCTTGAAGAACACCGGTGAAGGCGGGGTGATGCGAAGAAAGAGCATAATGCACGAGACCAGAACCAGGAGGCACGTTGGAGCACATGGCAATGAACATTTCTCAATCTTTTGGTTGCGGGCGAGGTTGCGCTGCCCAACGCTGGCTTCCGCCGGCAGCAAATGCAGCTGGAACGTACCAGAAGAGGCAGTGGCGAAAGGGGTCGGGAGGAAAACTAGGTTAATCCGCACTGAGTTGACAGGTGTGGAGAAGGCGCCAGTGGTAAGAGACAGTGCCCATGTTAGTGCCAGGGGGAGCGCCAATGAAAATCCGGTTGGGTGGGGGTGGTGGCTATCTGGCACAAGCAGGTGCTGAACATGCTGACAATTGCTACGCCTGTCGTTAGGCCCTTTGCCCCAGAGGACCTAGTCCACCGAGCAATGGATGTTCTTCAAAACTCTCGACCCATTCCGTGATGCGAGGCAGTTCCTCCATGGTCGCAGCGGACTTCGATGCTTGAGGCATCGTTTAGAGCTTGTTTGTGACGGATTGTCTGGTATTTACATATTCTGCCATGGTATTGAATGGAGGCATTCGGATGAACAGTGATGAACAGGTTGAGGTGAGCACGCAGGGACACGCATCCCATTGTCGCCCGTCTCCAACTAGCATCGCCCCTTTTTGCTTCGGGAGTGCTCCAAACTAGCATCCCACCATTCTCGCCCCAAAAGCGTCTCCAACTAGCGTCCACATGTTCACCCATTCCCACCTTGTCATCTGGGGCTCTTGCCATTTGATGGCTCAAGATTTTTCTGGTACACTTAACCCGCCTTCTTTCAGCATCCGGCAGCACCATGGCCGACATCAACGCGATTCGGCAGAAGATTATGAAACGCGTCAACGTGGAGCCGGAGCGCCTCGAGCCCGACGACATCACAAAGATGGTGGAAGACGGGGTGCTGACAAAGGAGGAGTCGACCATTTTGGAGATCAACTTGAAGGTGAATAAGGTCATGGCGGCCCCGGGCTTTCGAGACGTGACGGACTCTGGCTACGCCCCCACCTTGCTCAATCAGGGCTTCTCTGGTACGGCGCCGACGCTCCAGACGGGGAAGGACATGAAGTCCGGTGTCCTCGACCTGAAGCAGCTGGACTGGCAGCGGGTCTTCACGAACTGCAACCTGACGTGCGGCAGGATCACCAGCAGCAGCACCTTCAGCTGCTCGTCGAAGCCATTGTTCAAGGAGCCGACGGAGGAGACCATCAAGAATAAGCTTTTTCGTGCCTCGCAGTACAGCGAGCAGGAACATGCCGTGGTGCGGTTCGACGACAAGTTCAAGGCACACTCGGAGGTCTGCAGCGCGCAAGCCTACACAGAGGTGTGCACACCTCTTGCGGCAGCTGCTGCGGAATACAAGTCCGCCAGCCTCCACGAACAGCGAGGAGAGGGCAGCCACTACACTGTAGTCCACAAGCTTCACGTGCCGGTGGGAAGCTTCCACATCAGCACGGCTTATCTCGAGGTGGAGGAAGGGTTCGTGAAGAGCGTGGAGGAAGCCTTGAGCGCCGCAGGCAACAAGAAGCCTGAGGAGCTGAGCAAGTTCTTCGAGGATCGCATCTTCAGTACCTATGGGGACGTCTATCCAACCGAGGTGACAATCGGGGTGGCCGCCTTCTCCACCGAGGTCAAAACCGTGACCAAGCAGGAGAGCAACAAAAAGGCCAAGGACCTCGCGCATTTGGCGGCAAAGGGCATTGGCCAAGGCTTCGCAGGCAAAGGGGACGTAGCTGCCAGCACTGACACGGCCAGCACGGAGGGTGCGCATGCTGTGAACGAAAGCCGAAGCTGGACCAGCATCGGGGCAGCCATCAGCGATGGTAAGAACCCCCGGTCCATCAATTCATGCAGGGAGGACTCACGTGCATGGCGCTGCATCCAGTACGAGAGGGTAGCAAGCGTCTTCGACTTGCTCCCCCCGAAGCTTCTGGACCGTGTCCGGGAGTTGGAGAAGACAATGCCGCAACTTGCGCCCGAGCAAGAGCTGCAGAAACCAGCGCAGCTGCAGCCAGCCAGCGAACGCCTCAAGCGCCGCCAGCTAGCAGTGGCGGCCGTGATCGAGGGCCTCAAGCGCTTGGACCGCTGGCAGCACACCATGCATCAGAGGAACGAGGCACAAAGGCTTCTGCAGGAAGTGGGAATCCGGCAGGGGCGCCTTGAGACCGGCGAGAGCCTCCTCACAGCCGACGAGCACAAGCAGATCAAGTGGCTCGTGGGCCTCTACTCCGGTTGGATCTGGAATGCGGACGACAACAAGACCAGTGCTGCGGCGCAGCAGGCAGCGGACGTCCTGGCGAAGGATGGGTGATAAGATGTGCTAAGATGTGCTAGATTTTGAGACCCTGTGCCTTGATCGCGGAGATTATGAGACGATGTTTGTTTTCCACGCCTGAAAGCTTCGAGACACGGTGCGGGACCAGCGTATAGCATTTCTCACGCGAAAGCCGTGAGTTTTACAATTGTATAGCACTGACTCAGCAGGCTCCGGGTCCGGGACGATACAGAGTTTTCATCTCTCTTCCGGGGGCCTGCTGGGCACAAGACGGGATGTCGAGCGCAGGGCATGCGGACACCTGCAGGACCGCAGGCACTGGAAGATCTTTTGCGCCGTTGCTCGTGCTTTGCTAGACTTGTAAGGATGATCCTTTATGATCTCACTCGTACTGCAGTGCATGATTTGCTCGCTAGATTTTTTTAATCAGGCTGTAATCGGCTTCGGGTTTCCTTCAAGGGTTCACCTCTCATGACGAATGAAGACGCATTGTTATCCTCCCCTTGTAAGTCCTCCCCCCCCTCCCGCAGAAAAGCAGTGGCAAGCACATGTTTGTACGATGATGTAGCATCGTACAACGTGTTGCCAAGAAAGCTTTATTTATTGTGTTTGTGCCCTGGGATGAGAGCCGCATTTGTTTGTTCTTTGCGAAGGTGACACCATTACCTGGACCTTGTTTCGCATGGCGAAGCTGCACCCTCAGAAGCTCGGCATCCCGTTCTCAGTGGCAGTCAGTGGCGAAAGCGTCCTCGCAGTGTCCTGCAGGTTCCATCCCACCATTGTGAAGGTCAAGCAGCTCATGCCGCCTCTCTGCGACAGGCGACCTTCGAACCATACAAGCTCCGGTTGCACTATGTTGCACCCACATCTCCTCTGTGCATCTGCCAATATATGTGCCGGAACGTGCGGGCGCGTCCTCCCACGCCAATCTCTGAAGCTTTCGGAGCCTATGCGATCCTGGACCCGGATTGGGAGTCACTTGTGTGACCTGCGAACACCTCGAAAAAAGTCACAGCAACAGCTTTCCCTGAGCCACCGCGAGACCATTCCAGGTTGGCAGGCTTCTTTGCAAGAGAAGCTGCGCTCAAGTCGGATTTCGGTGCTGTTGTTGCACTGTCTCGGATTGTGGTTCGGTCCTTGCGCCCAGCAGTCAGGTGACGCTGAGTCTCTCTGGCTTCGAAATCCGTTGTGGTTTCCGATTGTTGAGCCGTTCTGGTTTCCGATGTTTGCTTCGACCAGGGGGAGGGGAGGTGGATGAGGGGGGTAGGGTTCTACAGAAACAAGGTAGTCCCACAGCATGGTTCATAGCGGAAGCGGAAGCAAACCCTGAGCACTAGACAAACCAAATTTGAAGCCTTATAGTGTTGGCTTGCCATGGGCTTCGTGCTAGCATGTATAATGTATAGGTTCGGAAGGGGTTGTCACGAAGACTTGTCATGTCTGACGCAGGCTTTGTGTTGTGTGATCTCAGTGATCTCCCGCAGTTGTTTTGTCCCAGGCCGCGCCTTTGCTTAAATTGCAAACCTTTGCCCCCCAGAGCCATGGCCCGCCCGGTGCTGCTCCCTCTGGTCGCTACGCTGGCTGCCTTCTTTGGCGCCCTCAGCTTCGTGGGCTCCTCGGGCCAGGCACGCAGCTCCTGCAGCCGCGTGCCCGCGCGGGTCAGCGCGGAGTACCTGGAGCGCTGCGGCCCCAAGGACTCGGACGTGCCCTTCGGCAGCGCCAGCGCCACGGGCCCGGGTGCCACCGTGGAGTTCAAGAAGCGGCCCTTCGGCATCCTGCGTTACCAGCCGGGCCAGGGCGGCAAGGGAGCCATGGCCATGGAGATCATCCCCAAGTCCAGGTACCCCGGTGATCCTCAGGGCCAGGCCTTCGCGGCAGGTGTGCAGAGCGGATGGGTGGTCGCCTCCATCAATGGCCAGGACATGCTCAACGAGGATTTCGGCAAGATCATGGATCTCTTGGACGATGAGGTGGCTGATCCCCGCTTCTCCAAGTCGACGGCCTTGGCGCTCGAGAAGCAGGGTGGACGCTTGGCCGAGCCTGTCGAGGCCCCGCTCTCCGTGGTCTTCAACTCCATCCCGGGCTACACCTACAAGGGCGCTGCGCTGACAGAGGACGGTCAGGACGGCTTCGCGCGCTGAGAGCAGCTTAGCGGCTTAGCCTGGGCTTAGCAGGCTTAGCCGATATGTCTTTCGATAGTCGCACACGCGAAGCTGGAGCCATTTAGAACTCATTTGACCTCCGGAATTTTCATCGAAGATATCACAGCGGAGAGCATGACAAAATGCTCAGATGCCGGTGTCGCGTCACCTTGTCAGTCGCCCTTGAAGTGCTATGTAACCTGTTTTTTTTGCGCGTGTGTCAGGTGTTCTGAGAACTTGGAGATCAGGCAGGGCCTCTTCAGCTTCGTGGCCCCACAAGCCGCTGTGCCAAATAGCCTTCTTTTTTTGAGCCTCCCGCGAGGCTCGCCGTCACCGGGGGTCTCGTTCTGCAGGCCGGAGCAGTGGAGAGTACAGCAACGCGAACATGGCACTTCAATTTGTCTTGTGCATTCTTGTGCTGCTCAAGGATGGCAAAGACCTGGCATCGCAAAGAACAACTCCCGCGCCGGCCCCTCATGCAACAGCATATGCAACCACCTTTTGAGAGGCGGGTCGTATGTTGCGTTGCCCGCGGACTTGGGCCTACAGTCTTGACATGGTCATGACATGGCTTGACGTCTGATCCAACTACTGCAGAAGGCTGACGCGAGTTGTTTGAGAGTTGTTTGAGAGTTGTTTGAGAGTACTGCCATCAATTGCCCAAGAGCCATGATGTTTCTGGCTGCCGCTTTGCTGCCCTGCTTCACGACGGCTTTCAAGGACTGGCGCTCAGAATCTTTGTGTCAGCTGCCCTCCCCCGCCTCCCCGTTGTGACTCGTGTTTCGTTGAAAGGTGACCGCCGTCTCTGCGGGTGGAGATCACGCGCTGATGCTCCTGGAGAACGGCGAGGTGTTTGCTGCTGGTGATAACCGGCACGGGCAGCTGTGCATCGGCCACAAGAAGGACGGGATAAGTACGGGAGCGAGGAGTGATCATCGGCAACCCAAAGCTGGAGAGGTCCATCTTATGGTTGCTGGAGCTCCCTTTGAGTTTATAGAACTTCCGACAATCTAGAAATATCTAGAATCTAGACCCTGAAAAAGCATCCCAAACACGAATGCGAACTCTTGAGAAGCAATAGGATACCAAACCCGAACACCTGAAACCCCTTAACCTGAAAATGCACAGACAAAAACACAACAAGAAAGATATCCACCCGTTGAATTCATGCAGCGAAAACTCAGTGGTTCTGATGACGAGCCCAGCAGTTCTTGTTCATTGAGAGCGATCTGCTGTTCGGAGGCAGTGGATGCCGCGGTGCGGGTGGACATTGGCGAAAAGGTCAAGGCGGGCTCTCTCCCATCCGATACCACGATATATGGTTTGTACTTGGCATGAACGGGCCCAGGGGTCGGCTGAGAGCGTTTGATGCTCCAAGGTTTGCAGGCTCTGAAGTAGTTGGATTTTGTGGAACACTCCGGCAGGGACTGGGTGGGGGGGGGGCGATGTCGGGAGGGATAAGGCTCTTCGCAAGAAGGCTGAACATGAAGAGTCGCCTGGAGGCTGTTGCAGCTGGGTGCAGCCACTCCCTGCTGATCACAGAGTCTGGTGATGTCTATGCAGCGGGTGACAACAACCATGGCCAACTGGGCACTGGTGGCAGCGGGAGCAGTGAGGCATTTCCGGTGCCTACCAAGATGGACCTAAGTGCCCTTGGAGCTAAAGTGGCTTCTGTGGCTGCCGGCTGCTGGTTCTCTTTGCTGTTGCTCGAGTCTGGTGAGGTCTATGGGGTAGGGCTAAACAGTTTCGGACAGCTGGGGCTGGGCGCCACTTCTCCTTCAGTCCACACCAGCCTCGTAAAGATGCAGCTGACTGGCAAAGCAAGCAGCATTGCAGCTGGATGCACTCATTCTCTTGTGCTCTTGGAGAACGGAGAAGTTTATGGAACCGGTGACAACCTCGACGGTCAGCTGGGAATTGGCAACACGCAAGATCAGGCAACACCTTCAAAGGTTCGAGCAGCCTCGAGAGTGGTTGCCATTGCAGCTGGAACGTACCACTCGTTGCTCTTGATGGAAAATGGCGAAGTCGCAGCCGTAGGCAGCAACCTGCATGGGCAACTTGGCATTGGATCGTTTGACAGCCAAGTTCTGCCAGGCACTTGGCTTCTTGAGGCTGAGGCCCCAGTGAAAGCTGTGGCTGCTGGGGACTTTCACTCCCTTGTCCTCCTGGAGTCCGGTGACGTCTATGCGACCGGTGACAATAGCTACAGACAATTGGGTATCGGGGTTTGGGACATGACGCCCACGCCCAGACTGATGCGGTTGGATGAGAGTGTCACAGCGGTTGGTGCGGGGTGGTCATATTCCCTGATGATCGCTGAGTCTGGCGAAGTCTTCTCAGCAGGCTACCACTTGATACATAGCCGGGAAGCTGGTCATGCAGAGCACCGGCCTGCCTTGCCCACCCGGATGGAATGCTGTGGATAGGTCGGATAGGTTCTTTAGCGTGATCTTGGCAGCCACGCGCAGGCGGACAGACGTTTTAGTAGTAGGCTTTCTGCAGAAGGAAGCTGGCAACGAAGCCGATTGAAGCACCGGCAGTGTATAGCAACGTATCGTATTTGGCTGTTTTGTTACTGCTGTCGATCGCGTTCAAACGCCGCGTTCAACCCGTAGAGTCCCTTCGGGGGCCCTTTCGGGTGTCACTTCAGGTAACCCAGGTGCCCAAAGTGGTTCAGCTGGAGCTCCCTGCTCGTCAAAGAGGGTGAAAAAAGCGACCCTTCAGTGCATTTTTTTGGTAGAAGTGTCTTCGAGCTTCACTGCTGACTTCGGCCAAGGCCTGGTGGCCGCCGGTGGAGACATGAAGCCACATTGCTCCGAGTTGTCAACTCTCGGAGTTACTCCCAAGGCATCTCCGCAACAGTTCAGGGCATTTCCCAGGTTTGACCTTGTTGACCCTCCGGTTTGGGGGTAGGCCCCGGAGAAGGCCCTAAGGTCGGTCTTGGCCCATGCAGTGCACTTGGACGGAGGGGCTGGGGATGGTGCGGATGAGATGTCTTGATGATGGGTGGGGGCGAGCGTCCGTGGAGGGCTGGACGGGAGGGCCTGTCGGAGTGCATCTGTGCGTGAAATGTTTGTCTGACAGTAGCTCTTATGCGATTGCCCTTGCTGCTTTTGCTTGCCATCGGGCACTGTGCTGCGCAGGTATTTGATGGCTCACCCGTACCGTAGCTTGGGAAGCACGCAGATCTACTTCGCTTTACGACTTTACGACGTTGTGGTCTGGAAATGTCCGCTGCAGGTCACTGGTCCTTGAATTTCTGAAGGACCTTGGGCCTGGAAATGAGTCTTGCTCGTTGTCACCATGGTTATGCAGCTATGCAGGACAGGGAAGCTCGGCGAGTACGTGCGTTGAGGATCTTCCGCGGAAAGGTGTGACCCCTTGATGCGTGATGAAAACACGAGGGACTTGTGAGGGGGGGACATGCTTGCCAGGCCTGGACTGACTATATGGCAGCATGGTGGAAGAGAAAGCTGAGTACGCGGAGCTGTTAGGCAGCCTTGCCCCACGGCGGAAAACAATTCGGTGCACAGCGCATGGTCAACAGTTTTTCGCTGAGCAGAGCGGAGCGATGGTACCGACTTTGTTGGTTTGCGACTGAGCCATATGGCAAATCTTCTCTGTGTGTCGCACACCCTGCAACATTACACACAACCGACAAATTGAAGATGGAGATGATCGTAAGCGTCGTAGACGTTCCAGGAGGCTCTCAGGGGTCTGGGCGGTCTTGAGGGTGGGGGTGTTGGGGGAAGGGACAGGCAATTGAGTGTGCGCCAGCCTTGGCAGACATACACTTCTTGAACTTTGCGCCGTGAGTGTGACGTGCAAGTGTGTGCTGCGTGTGTGTGTGTGTGTGTGTGTGTGTGTGTGTGTGTGTGTGTGTGTGTGTGTGTGTGTGTGTGTGTGTGTCATTCTTGGCCAGGGGTCATGCGCCGCTCCCCTTCCAGCAATTCCATGTTGCAGCACCTTGTCGGCTCGCATTTTGCAATCTTTTGCCTCGACGAGCCTTGCAGCTTGTCGTTGCAATGTTCGAGGTTCCAATTCAATTGGTTATTGGATTGGGGGAGGGGGAAAGTGGGGCGGGAGTGGAGGAGGAGGAAGAGGATCGCATGCGGTGTACTTATCGTCTTGCGCTGACACACATTTCAAAACTACATGTATTGAGATCCCAATCAATCTCCAGTCAAAATTCAAAAAGTCAGACTGGGTCCGATGCTCGGACGCTCCTACGACTATGGAGTGCGGCCGGAGTATATCGGCAGCTGTCGACTGTCGATTGTTTGGCAGGGCAATCGGGCGGCATGGTGTGGTATTGATCCAAACAAACGTTCTCGCGGTGACATCGCGGTGATTCGGATTGTGTTCGTCTCATCCGTAATGAGCACGCCGGCCCAACAAATGATGAGAGTTCAGGTTCAGGATGATGTGAGGTTGCGCTTGGTACAGACTTTCTGAGTACAAGTCTAGCTGTTCCCTTATGGGTTTGCAATGTTTGCTTTTCTCTGCATTCCGTTCTGGACATCGATGAAGCAGAAAGCAGCAAAGTCAATCAAATTCCCCTAAGATTTTGAAGGAGCTTCCGCAGCTGCACAGTTTCTCAGATAGCCTTCAGCTCCGTCAGCTCTCCCATGGCAGCGCATGGCAGCGCCTGCATCAAACACGAAGACTCGCACAGCGACTACTTGTAGAACCTACTTTGCCTGCTTGGTATTCTGGGCCATCTTGGGCGCCTGCGGTGCGATCGGACACCAAGCTGCTGCGAAGGCGGCAGATGCGAAAGGCGGTTATTTCGAGCTTTGCCCAAAAGGACACAGAACGGGGGCCCTGGCGCTGGAAACCACAGCGCGCCAGGTGCTTCCAAGGAGGTCGTTCGGCTCGCCAGCCTCCGCGTGCGAGCGTGGAGCTGGTGTCATAGTCTGGCGAGGGGATGGGTCCTCCTTCTGCTGCCCTGCTGCTGCTGGATGGTGTGGAGGGTGCGCCGAAGCAAACGACAAGGAAGACGCTTGTGGGAAATGCTTGGGTGGCTGGGTGTTGGAGCGTGGGTATTGCACCGCCTGCATGGATTTCCCCGGGTGGCACGATGCGAAAGGGAGGAACTGTTATGCCGCCGGATGCAGCAAAGACCGCTTCCAGGGATCCTCATCAGCCATGGCGTGCTGCAGCTGCGGTGGGGGCCTGCGGCAAGCCACCAGGTTTGGATACTACACGGAATCTCGCCTCAGACACAAGGAACCCTGCAGGCAACCCAAGGAGTCAGATCCGTTAAGCTCTCCCACCCCTCCCACCTTTCGGGTCACCCCTCCCGGTAACATGGAAATCCGCCCCGGTCCCGAGGTGGGGACTCGCCAAGATTTCTCATTTTCAGGGGGGTTCAGAAATCGTCGAGGTCGTCTGAAGATGCTTACGTAGTCCTGAAGTTGACCAAAAGTCCTTAAGGAGCCCCTCCTCATCGGCCACAGCGCCGTGACCGGCCGTCCACTTCCACGCACAGCGTCGCACTACTCTGTCGATAGCGGCTGCGAACTCCTAAATTTCAACCTGACGATCAACAGCACGAGCGGTGAGCTCCAATTGCAAGAAGGCGTGCATTCGGGACCCCCCGTGAAAGATGGCAGTCCGATAGAGGTGCTGAAGCCACGATTCTGCTCCCCAAAATCTTCTCCCGGAAGGCTGCGAAACCGTCGGTTGCGGACGTGCCCTTCAAGACTTCCAGGTGCTTTGCAGGATCACGGCCCACCAAGGCGAGGGGTGCTGTGGTGCAGTGGACAGGGAGGGTTGTCCGTTGCCGTCCTAAATCTGGCACACCGACAAAGACAAACTATACCTCAGACAATATTGGACACCCCCCCCCTCCGCCCCATGAACTACCGTTCTCTGTCTTCCTTGTAAGTCCCTAAACCCTAAACCCTAAACCCTAAACCCTAAACCCTAATTAGGCCCTAAACCCTAAACCCTAAACCCTAAACCCTAACCCTAAACCTCTGGTACATACATAATTTTAGTGATGGGGAGTTACTGGGCAAGGTCGCCGTTTTACTGGGCAAGGTCAGTTCGGTCAAAAAATCGACCTTGCCCAGCAAAACGGCGACCTTGCCCAGTCAAACGGTGACGTGCCCAGTAAAGCGGCGACCTTCCCCCCCTGCCCAGTAAAAATGCAACCTTGGACCCCGACGAAGGTCGCCGTTTTACTGGGCAAGGTCGCTTTTTTGACCAAAATCGACCTTGCCCAGTAAAACGGCGACCTTCGGGGCCGAAGGCCAGCATGGGGGGGTGCCCGAAGGTCGCCGTTTCACTAGGCTCTCCTTCCCTCTCTGTTTCATTCATGCAATCATCAGGGAATTGACATCAGTGGGTGAAACGTTGTCACACACACACAACTCGACGACAATGTTAATCGCTTGCCCCTTGTACTAAAACTCCTGTGATTAAAGCCGCTTTCCGGAAAATCCTGCTGCCGAAGCCGACCCCGCCTTTTAAACCCTCATTTCGAGTTTCTATTGGGGGGGGGGGGGGTGGTGCAGCTTAAATAGGGTCTATTTGGAAGCTGAGACTCGGGTTTTAAAGAGGAAATAAGGCCCCAAAACGTATGCTTATTCACAAAAGCCATCTGCCAAATAGACCCTGTTGTCGTTTCTGGGGGTTCTGGGGCAAGGAATTAAATAATTTAAATAATTTAAATCCGAAAGGGGCGTTTCGGATTTAAATTATTTAAATTATTTAATTCTGGGAAGGGGGGGGGGCCTGGTCGGGCCTGGCCCCCCCCCCTTTTCGGATTTAAATTATTTAAATTATTTAAATTATTTAAATTATTTAAATTATTTAAATTATTTAATTCCGGGGGGGGGAATTAAATAATTTAAATAATTTAAATCCGAACCCCCCCTTTCGATTTAAATTATTTAAATTATTTAATTCCCCCCCCCGGAATTAAATAATTTAAATAATTTAAATAATTTAAATAATTTAAATAATTTAAATAATTTAAATAAATTAAATCCGAAAAGGGGGGGGGGGCCAGGCCCGGGCCCCCCCCCCTTCCCAGAATTAAATAATTTAAATAATTTAAATCCGAAAGGGGGTTCGGATTTAAATTATTTAAATTATTTAATTCTGGGAGGGGGAGGGGGCCTGGTCGGGCCTGGCCCCCCCCCTTTTCGGATTTAAATTATTTAAATTATTTAAATTATTTAATTCCGGGGGGGGAATTAAATAATTTAAATAATTTAAATCCGAACCCCCCCCTTTCGGATTTAAATTATTTAAATTATTTAATTTCCCCCCCTCGGAATTAAATAATTTAAATCATTTAAATACAATTAAATCCGAAAAGGGGGGGGGCCAGGCCCGGGCCCACCCCCCTTCCCAGAATTAAATAATTTAAATAATTTAAATCCGAAAGGGGCGTTTCGGATTTAAATTATTTAAATTATTTAATTCTGGGAAGGGGGGGGGGGCCTGGTCGGGCCTGCCCCCCCCCTTTTCGGATTTAAATTATTTAAATTATTTAAATTATTGAAATTTTTTAAATTATTTAAATTATTTAATTCCGGGGGGGGAAATTAAATAATTTAAATAATTTAAATCCGAACCCCCTCTTTCGGATTTAAATTATTTAAATTATTTAATTCCCCCCCCCGGAATTAAATAATTTAAATAATTTAAATAATTTAAAATAAATTAAATCCGAAAAGGGGGGGGCCAGGCCCGGGCCCCCCCCCCCTTCCCAGAATTAAATAATTTAAATAATTTAAATCCGAAAGGGGCGTTTCGGATTTAAATTATTTAAATTATTTAATTTCTGGGAAGGGGGGGGGCCTGGTCGGGCCTGGCCCCCCCCCCCTTTTCGGATTTAATTTATTTAAATTACTTAAATTTTCTAAATTATTTAAATTATTTAAATTATTTAATTCCGGGGGGGGGAATTAAATAATTTAAATAATTTAAATCCGAACCCCCCCTTTCGGATTTAAATTATTTAAATTATTTAATTCCCCCCCCGGAATGAAATAATTTACATAATTTAAATAATTTAAATAAATTAAATCCGAAAAGGGGGGGGGCCTGGCCCGGGCCCCCCCCCCCTTCCCAGAATTAAATATTTTAAATAATTTAAACCCGAAAGGGGCGTTTCGGATTTAAATTATTTACATTATTTAATTCTGGGAAGGGGGGGGGGCCTGGTCGGGCCTGGCCCCCCCCCCTTTTCGGATTTAAGTTATGTAAATTATTTAAATTATTTAAATTATTTAAATTATTTAAATTATGTAAATTATTTAAATTATTTAAATTATTTAATTCCGGGGGGGGGGGAATTAAATAATTTAAATAATTTAAATCCGAAAGGGGGGGTTCGGATTTAAATTATTTAAATTATTGAATTCCCCCCCCCGGAATTAAATAATTTAAATAAATTAAATCCGAAAAGGGGGGGGGGCCAGGCCCGGCCCCCCCCCCGTGGCTGAGCAAAATAGGGTCTATTTAGAAGCTACCGCCTGGGATTCTTAATCAATTTTAGCATATCCAAGACAACCCAGCTACTTCTCCAACAACGTCTCACGCATATGCGCACTTAGACAACTCATTTCGGACTGATAAATGTTTTGGCTCTTGCAATCTCAGACCCTAAGCCCGGAACCCTGACCACAAATTCGTACACTCTAAAACCCTACACAAGAAACTCTATACCGTATTTCCTAAACTCTAACTCCTAAACCCAGAATCTAGAAAGAAAAGGAGGAAAAAGAAAGAATCATGTGCAGACGTTCCTGTGTTCCTATCTTCGGAGTTCTTCTATTCCTATCTCTGCTGATTTTTCAGAATGGAAGGAGGGCTTCATTTTCCCTCTCACTTTTCCGTTCACTTTTCTTTTCTCACTCCAAGCAGAAGGGAGAAGACAAGGGAGAGAGGTGAGAGATAGAGAGCCCCTTGCAGCTCAATAAACAGAAAGGTGACCAAAATGGATGAAAAGATCGCCTGCTTTCATTTCTAAACGGCCTGTCCCCGCCTTCTTTTCTTTGCACAGTGCAGACATAAATAAACACGAAAGAAGAAAGAGGGCCTTTCCCTACTATTTCCTTCGCTATCCTGGAATCCTGGTTCGGAAAAGAAAGGAACAGCTACCAGCCCCCCTCCCGACTTTCATCTTTCCATTTCTTTGTTTCGTCACGCTCAAACGGACAGAAGAAGGGCGGCCTCTAGTGTTTCCTCGCCTCCTTCTGCACTGTTATAACTTCCTTTCTTTTCTCTTCTGTTGCTTTGTGTGACAGGTGCGGGGGCATTTCTTTCACTTTTCCCATCGAAGAAAGGCTCCCTTCCTATCCGCATATTTTCTTTTCTCTTCCTTCCGAAAAAGACTCTAAGAGGCAGGGATAAACAGAATGAAAGAGGAGTCTCCTTTTGCTTTCCGACTACCTTCTCACCACAAAAAGGAACCCTTCTCTTTCTTCCCTTGACTTTCTTTTATCTTGTTTGCATTCTACGTTTCCCACTAAGAAAATGAGACAATGATGAAGATAAGTGAAGAAAGATCACCTGCCTGCACGCAGGTTCTCGGGAGCTTGTCTCGACCGGGCTGTCCCTCCTTTCCCCGCACGTCCCTTCGCTTGTCCCCATTGATCTCTCGCGTCTCTTCCCTTTGCACTCTCTCGCCTCTGGCCCGCCTTCCATGCTGAAAATGCTGAAGAGATACGAAAAGAAGAGCTCATGATTCTTTCTCATTTCTTCTTCTTTGTCATTCCCATATGAGTAAAGAAGAAAGATTAGGAGAGAGAGCCCTGCGGCAATTCCTGTTTTGGGCGGAAGAAAAGAAACAAAGAGATAATAAGAGAGAAGAACGAATAAGAAGGTGCCGGGAACGAAGATGGAAACTGCTCCTTCACCCTGGTCTATCGCTTCCTTTTCGAATTTTTTCGGAAGGAAGATCGAAGAAGATAGTGGGAAAAAAGGAGTGAAGTGCCCGTGGAAGGGAGAAAGTGAAAGGGATGCCCCCGCAACTTTCATATTTTGATAAGAATGCAAGCGCCAGCAGAGAAGAAAGGAAGAGAGAATAACGAGGAAAGAGCGGAAACCGAGGAGATTAGGAGCCAGGTTTCCCTGATTGATTCTCGTCACTTTTCTCTGTTTTGGGAAGGTAAAGGGCTTTATATCTCCCACCTCTCTCCCTTGTCTTTTTGGTTGGAGTGAGAAAATATAAAGAAAAGCGAAAGGAAAAGTGAGAGGGAGAAAGAAGCCCTCCTTCCATTCTGAAAAATCTACAGATTTCGAGACAGGAATAGGGGACAATATGGAAATGATTCTTTCTTATTTCTTCACGTTGTCTTCTTTCCCTATATGACTCCCTTGCGATTTCCCTTTTGGTTGGAGTGAGAAGAGACAAAAGAAAATTGAAAGGAAAAGTGAGAAGGAGAAAGGACGCAGAGATAGGAATAGAAAAACTCAGAAGAGACACAGTCTCAGACAAGATAATTTGCTGACTTGTGATTGCGTGGCTGCCTTGGCAAGAGTTGTTGCTGGAATGGCTTTTGGGAAGAAAGTCGGAGGTGCACTTTTCGATCCAGGCGTGTTTCGCGAGCCGCAGCTTCTGGCCTCCTCTTGCTTGGGCGTGGCCAAGCGCCAGGGAGCAGAAATGCTGCGTTTTTCAAGTTTCAAATTCGTTTCTGTAGTTTCAGACTAGTTGCAAAATAGTTTCAAAATCCAGTTGCAAAATCGTTGTTAAGGGGAAACTGCGTTTTTCTACGCGCAA